TTGGCACAGGACTCTTTTCTTCTCGTCACCTTTTTGTTTGTTTGTTTGTTTGTTTGTTTGTTTGTTTGTTTTTTCTTTTGGTTTTCCAGACAGGGTTTCTCTGTGTATCCCTGGCTGTTTTAGCACTCACTCTAGAGATGAGGCTGGCCTTGAACTCACAGATCACTCTCCCTCTGCCTCCTGAGGGCTGTGATTAAAGGTGTGCGATGTTACCACTGTCACTGCCTCCCAGCTCTCTTCTAGTCAACTTTAAATAATGGGAGGAAAGCAGCAAAACAGCAAAACTCAAAACCCTAATAAGGTTATGACAAAAGCTTCACAAAGGTCAGCTGAGGTAATCCAGGGCTAGAACTGGATCGTGTGGATCTCAGTGAATCTCAGACAGTCGTGTGACACCAATGACAATAATTTACACTGCAAGCCCTCTAAGAAACATGCCCCAGCAGGTCTCAGCGGCCCACGCCTGTAATCCCAGCACTGGGGGAGGCGGAGGCAGGCGGATCTCTGTGAGTTCGAGACCAGTCTGGTCTACAAAGCGAGTCCAGGACAGCCAGGGCTACACAGAGAAACCCTGTCTGGAGGGTGTGGGAAAGAAGTGTGACCTAAGCAGCATCAACTGTGCCCTAGGCACACCCTCCCCATGACTTACATATCATGTTTAAATATTTTCTAACCACCACCATGTGGTGATGCTTTGGTTCTATCCTAGTAGGACCTTACCTATCCTCCTCCGTGTAGGGCAATTTAAGTCTCAGACTAACAAAGAAAGCAGCCTTACAGTCTTGGGCTAAGAAGCTGGGGAGCAGGTCAGACTCCAGACACGGGGAGGAGGACAGACTGAATATTGATCTCCACCCTAGAACAGAAAAGGTACCCAAGTGGCCCAGATTTGGTGGAGAAAATAAGAAGCAGGTGTTTGGTTTGGTTTAATTTTTGTTAAACAAAATGTTTTAATTACATTTTTAAAAAATGCATAGGTTTTGGGTACAAGTCAGAGGACAGCTTTCAGGTATTCTCTCTCTCTCTCTCTCTCTCTCTCCCTCTCTCCCTCTCTCTCTCTCTCTCTCTCTCTCTCTCTCTCTCTCTCCACTATGTGCCTGGGGACTCAAACTCGGGTTCTCAGGCTTGGCAGCAATTACTTTTATCCACCAAGCCACCTTGCCAGGTCCTGGTTTGGCCTTTTTCAGACAAGGTCTCTTTATGTAGTCCTGACAGGCCTGGAACTTAATATCTAGAACTTGTGATGATCTTCTTGCTTCTGCCTTCCAGGTGTTGGATCACAGGCTGTGCCACTACCCCCAGCTCGGAATTGAGCTTTGAAAGACCTCAAAATCTCACCTTTTACCAGAAGAGAAACCTTACCTCAGACTAGACCAGGCAGGACCTTTGTCCAGTGCTAGCCCAGTCCAGGCAATACAAGCATGGCTGCACAGACTGGGGAGAATAAGAGAAGGCCTTTGAGAAGAGAAACCAGGTTCACTTATATTTTGTCATTCTTCATCCAGCTGGAGTCTGGGCTGTCCCAGGACGTAGCTGTCATTCTGTGCTGAGTTTCTTGCGGGTGGGAAACAGAAGTGCATGCTCTGGGTGAGAGATCGTGAAGCACCAAATCAAAGGAGTGCAGGGCTCTGAAACCTGAGCCAGGCGGCGGCTACTGACTTTATGAACAGCCAGTAATGCAGGCTCGCTTCCTCGGAGCTCCAAAACTGAGAGAGGCAGAGGCAGGAGGCTGGTTTGTCCAGGTGGACAAAATGGCTGCTTCAGGAACAGCCAGCCGCTTGTTCCCACAGATGGGCACTGCCATGGGTGGAGCGGTAGAAAAATGGTGGCATAGATGCATGCTGACACGCTGGTGAATGGTAGAAGTAGGTGGTTGCCTTGCCAAGCCCCAGGGGTCCTTTAGGGAGAAGGGGCCCCTGTCCTTCCCTAGAATAAATGATGAGTCTCAGCCAGTCATGGTGAAATAGATGATGCTAACCCCTTTATCTTGGGTAAAACAGGGGCTTACAAACCTTGAGTAGTAGGAGGGTTTTTGAGGGTGAATGTGTTTGATTTGATGGGGCTGGGGATGCCAGGGATACTTGATTACATACAGAAACACAGCCCTATCATAAGAAGGAGAAAGCAGTACTTAATTATCCTGTGGGAGGGGGAAGACCCCAGGTACAGTTAAAGGTCATTGGTTGAAAGCCAAGACACCAAGACATCTCATTAGCATAAGGTGGGTGTTTCCAGGAATCTCCTGGTACTTGCTAAATGGGTTTCTTATCACGAGATGGTTGGGCTTGTAATTTCCCTGAGGACTCTATGATGTTCCTTAGAAGATCTGGGGTTCCCCAGACCAGGCAGAGAGGGAGCCATAATCTTATTCCAAGCTCAGAAACTATCTGGGAATGCCTGACTTCCACCTTGATAGTAGGGCTCCACAATATTTCCAAGGAAATCAAGAACAAACAGTCCTGAAAGGTAAAAGTGTAGCAAATTTCCTTTTTTTTTCCCCTTGCTTTTGTTGTTGTTGATGATGCTATTTTTTTTTGTTTGTTTGTTTGTTTGCTTGCTTGTTTGCTTTGAGACAGGGTCTCACTATGTAGACCCTGAAACTTACTCTGTAGACCAGGTTGGCCTCAAACTCCGAGATCCACCTGCCTCTGCCTCCCGAGTGCTGGAACTAAAGGCCTGTGCCACCACTGCCTGGGTAAAAAAATTTTATCTTCTATTTTGTTTTGTTTGTAGTCACAAGATTCAAAGATCCACATATTCTGCCTGAGATACATTCCCAATATGAATAGAAAATAAATGCTTTGGGAAGTCTTTACAGCTTTCCACTACTAGGATAAAGTTTTATTTTTTTACACCTTTGTGGGGATGGGAGTGTAACTCAGAGCTACAGTGCACATTTAGGCTGCATAAGGCTCTGGGATTGATCCTCAGCACCAAAAAGTCAAAATAATTTAAAATGGACATGATGGTCAACCCTTCAAACAAAAACGTGAGCAGAGCAGAGGTACTGAAGGTGTTTGTAGCCCTGAAGCCAAAGCTAAGAGGATGAATTCTCAGAGGAGATAGACATCTAAACCACAAGGAAGATAATGGAGTCAAATTCAGGACAGTAGGAGAGCTTGGGGATTAAGCAGCAGGAGCTCACATCATGCAACCTTGGTAAATGCTGCAGCCAGCGCTGTCACCATGACACTGGGAAAGAGCATCCTAACCCCGTCACTTTCTCTTCTCATGTGCTGATAAAAGTTATCATTCAAAAGGAATGCCAGGGTCCAGTTCCCCAGGAACCAGAGAAATCCTGCCCCCTCTAATGAGAGGTCTGGAAACCTTAAGATTTGATGTGGCCAGGCGTGGTGATGCTCGCCTTTAATCCCAGCACTCAGGAGACAGAGGCAGGTGGATCTCCGTGGGGTCCAGGCCAGCCTGATCTACATAGAGTTCCAGGACAGCTAGAAGCATGTATTAAGACTCTATCTCAAAAAAAAAAAAAAAAAAAAAAGTAAAGATTTGATATGCTTTCTCTGGTTAAACACTGTAGGCGAATATGTGTTACAGTACACATGGTAAGCTTTGGTCTTTTTTTTCTTTAGATCCCAAGAGATGACCCAAAGACGTTTAAACCTTGGGCTATCCCTATAGCGTAAGCTGCTCCTGTTTCCTAGAGGTAAGACCATTGAATTAAATCATAATCACTCCGAGAGAGGAAAAAGGAGTTTTCAAACTATGTTCCATGGAACCCTAGATTTATGCAAGTGCTTATTCAAATCACTGTATCGTAGCCAACATCTTAAGCATGTTGTGATTTGCAAGTAAGTTAAGCATGTTGCAACATGTTAAATTTGCAGCACTAAACGTTCACAGCTTTGAATGAGTCAGTTAGGAGATGATAGCCAAAATTTAATATTTATTTATTTGTGTATATAAGTGGTCTAATTTGCATGTATGCCTTTATGACAGAAGAGGGCACCAGATCTCATTATAGATGGTCATGAGCCACCATATGGTTTCTGGGAACCGAACTCAGGACCTCTGAAAGAGCAGTCAATGCTCTTAACCTCTGAGCCTTCTCTCCAGCCCTGAAGTTATTCCTTTTACACAAAATTTTAAAATGAGGATGTAGCAGATGAAGATATTTTAAACATTCTGTTCTCTGATTTGTACGAGATACTTGCAGCTTAAATACAAAACTAAAGCCAGGTCTGCTGATTCCTGCCCCTCTGACTAGCCCCTATGTGTATTTGGGGGGTTCAGCCACCTTCAGCTTTGTGCTGTTGTCCTGACAGAAAATTGAGAGCACTGAATGCTTTGGAAAGTGACAGTGAGACTCCCTGATGAGAAACAAGTTGATCTCTGACCTCTGACTCAGGTTGTCAGACTGGGTGCTTTTACCTTCTGAGCCATCTCACCAGCCCACCTCCGCCACTCACCCCTCCCCCTTGTTCTGTAGACAGGGTCTCATGTAGCCCAGGTTGGCCTTGAACTCCAGATCCGCTGGCCTCCAAGAATCTTTTTTAACTAGAGGGAGTTTTGTGCTGTTTATAACTATTCTCTCTTTCCTCCCTCAGGCTATCCAAGGGAAAGGACGGCTTCTTAATCCTAACTGGACTCCAAACTGATATTCCTGTTCTATCTGGTGGGAGGGAGGGGTGAGCCCTGTCACAAAATTTAGAACCACTGTTCAAATCTAACTACATTCACAAGATGAATCATTTATTACAAATTATTTACTTAGCTAGTGTCCCCAGCCTGGACAAGCACTGCAGTGTTTGAGGCATGTTTAGTGATTTGTCTCCGAGAAGACTGTAAAGGTCGATGCTGGAGCAGAAAGACAGGTGTGCTGGCAGCATCTTTGCTTGATAGAGCCTGGTGGCGGACACACACGTCAGGCCTTTGAGGCAGGAGCCACTGAGCCCCAGCAGGGCAAGGTTTCTGCAAGGTTTTCTTTCGTTTCCCGGGGCCTCGGCTGTGGTTCTCGGTCCCAGCATTTGACAGAAGAGAAGCGGTCTTTCCTTCGTTCGATGATGGATGATCGTTCGGCGAGTGAGCGTGCCTTTTGGGATTTTGAAGGGCATTCTGGAATGAATTATCACGATCACTAACTGTTTTGCTTTTATTTCCGTGGGGGTTTTGGTTTGTTTGTTTGTTTTTGTTTTGTTTTACTGTTTTATGGAAAACATCTGATCAGAGCTTCAGAAATACTAGATGGCTCAGTTTCCCAGGTAACCGAGAGCAAATGAATCAACCTTGTACTGTGGCTGAGGATATTAAGAGTTAAAATGCAGGTCAGTGATGGAGAGTTTATCTAGTATGTTCGATTCATCCCTGAGTCTGAACCCCAGCACAACAAAAATAAAACTGGAACAATGAATGTGCAGGGTCCGTGGGAAGTCCAATCCGGTTTGAAGAGCTTTCAAAAGAGGAGAAAAGCTGCATGTGAATTGGGCCTAATGGCCAGAAAGTGGAGGAGAAAACAGACATGGTACCTAGTGGGCGGGCTCCGGAAGGGGGCGGAGAAGGTGAGGTGAGCCAGGACGAGAAGTGACTAGCGTGACTAGCGACTAGCGAGCTGAGCTGTGGTGCATGATGGGAAGCACAGGGACTAGAGTGGAGGCCCGTGTCACTTGAGGCCACAGAGACTTTGGCTTGCAGGAACCAGGGCACAGTTATGCACAGGTCCATCTGCTGACGTTAGGGGTTCCTCGGCCACAGAAGTCCAAGGGGAGAAGGGAGCAGAAGCACAGAAGAGTCCAGAGCGTTAAGGCGTAAGGGCAGAAGAGACAGTGAAATTTTTTGGGTGGCTGAGGTGAAAAATTGAAATTAATGAAAAAAAAAATCTAAGTTCTTTTGAAAACAAATCCCTTAGCTTAAAATCTAATGGAAATGTCAGGAATTTGCTTTATCATTTGTGTTACTTTAAATGGTTATACATATGGTTAGTTTGGGTTTTTTGTTTGTTTTGTTTTTTAATTTGGTTTCTTAGGGATAAGAGTGGTTACTAGAGATGTATTTTCTTTGTCGTGGGTGAGTACTTCTAAATCCTAAAATGAGTGGAGTCTGCATGCAAGTGATTCCTGTAAGTTGATGTTCTAGAATCTGGATAATATAAATCTTAATAAAGAACTTTAAAAAAAATCATATTTAATTCAAGGCCAGCATGGTCTACATAGTTCCAGGCCAGTGAGGGCTATATGGTGTAAAAGTAACTCCCGTTCGCCTGCTTCAGTTGTGCTGGAGGCCTACTGCCTCCTGCTAACCTAGGCCTAGTCCTGGAAGCTTCTAGCCTCCATACAATCTAACCTAGGCCTAGAATGTTTTCAGTCTCTAAGACTTTTTTTTTTTCTTTTTTGGTTTTTCAAGATAGGGTTTCTCTGTGTAACCTTGGCTGTCTTGGGCTTGCTTGTAGGCCAGATTAGCCTCGAACTCACAGAGATCGAGGCCTCTGCCTCCCTGAGTGCTGGGATTACAGGCATGGGCCACTGTGCCCAGCCTGAGACTTACTTCTTAATAAATTCACCTTTCTTGTTCTTGCTAAGTTCTAGGTTGGCTCTTTCAACTCAGCTATTCTGGCTCAAACTCCTCTCCCAGCTGACTTACTCAATCTGGTCTTTCAGCCTCTGAATTGGTCTGCTTGGCCTCAAACTAACTCCAGCAATCTTCTCTAATCTTCTGGCCCCTTATTCTCTGACTCATTCTGTCTTCAACCTGTCTATAAAACTCTTCGGGTAAAACTGCCTCCTTGCCCTCTCCTTCTCTGTATTGCTCCTTAAGTAGCTTCCCTTTCCTCTCTCTTTATTCTGTCACATCTTTCTCTGATTCGTCACTTTTTCTGCCACTCCATTAAACATCACTTTCAAACTTCTACAAACTGTCTTTACCTTCATTGTTTGGGATTAAAGGCATGTACCACCATGCCTGGATCTAAGCTTTTCTTTACCTGAAACTTGCTCTATACCAGGCTGGCCTTGAACTCATTTCTGCTTACCTCTCTGTCTCCTGGATTCCAGCCCGGATCACACAGACTGAGAAGGTCTTTGGATGTGATCTCTTGCCAGAACAGCCATGTTCTGAATTAAAATTCCTCTACTATATGGTGCGACTGTCTCAAAAAAAAAAAAAGTAGGGAATGAGGGGGGTGCGGTGCTGGAGATGGCTCAGCACTGAGATGTTCTCAGCCACTGAGAACACTGGCTGTTCAGAGGACCTGAGTTCACTTCCCAGCACCCACATGGCAGCTCACAACTGTCTGTAATCCAATCCCAAGTGATCCAACACCCTCACACAGACCTACATGCAGGCAAAACACCAATGCACATACAACAAACCAATAAATCATTAAAAAAAATCACATTTGAAGTCATAAATTTGAAACTTTTTCTCTGGGTTTAACTGCAGCCTCATGCACAAATTGGAGGCACAGGCCCATGCAGCAAGCAGCCTGAAACATTCTTTTCAAAGATTTCTTGATTTCTTAATTCAGGATGAGCAGTATGACCCAGAGTTGGAGCTTCCTAAGAGATTTTTTTCATTTATTTTTACTTTATATGCATGTTTTGTCTTCATGTATTTACATGTCCTACCTTCGTGGCCGACACCCTTAGATGTCAGAAGTGGGCATCGGATCCCCTGGAACTGGAGTTCCAAATGTTTGTGAGCACCAAAAAAAATGGGTGCTGGGAACTGAACCTGGGTCCCCTAAGAGCAACAGCACTCTTAACCACTGAGCAACCTCGTCAGTCTCGTCACCATCAAAATTAACTCATCTCAAATACTCACATAGTTCTGTCAAGATCAGAGTCACCCTGAGAATGACCAAATGTCACATGTTGGAGCAAATCCAAAGTAAAAGAAAAGTACCGGGCCAGTGAGATGGCTCAGTGGGTAGAAGCAACTGCTGCGAAGCCTGGGGAACTGAGTTCTATCCCTGGGTCCCCCGTGGAGGAGAGAACCAACCCCCCAATTTCCCTCTGACCTCCGCATGTGTGCTGTGGCACACAAACCACCACCCACAGATAATAAAGAAATAAATAAATACATTTCTAAAAAAGTGCCTAATTTTTGCTCCTGTTTTGTTTTGATTTTTTGGGGGGTGGGGGTTAGGGTCTTACTGACCTGGAACTCACTATGTAGAGTAAGCTGCTGGAACTCACAGACACACATTCCCCTCTACTTCCCAAGTGCTAGGATTAAAGTCCTGTAACAGCCACGCTCTGCTTGCCCTGTTTTAATATTTGCTTTTGCTGTTTCCCTTTTCTGTTTCAGTGATTTTACTTTCTTTCCTACCATTGGTTGCAGCTTGGAGCCTATGCTAATAAGAAACTGACATTCTTTTTAGGGAGGGGATTGGCTTTTTGAAACAAGTTTTACTTTGTGGCCCAGGCTGGCTTAGAACTTGTAACGCTCCTCCGTCTGCCTTCTGAGTGCTGAGGTTGCAAGCCTATGTCACCACATTCAACTGAAAGGAACTGTGATTCTTTTCTTTGGGTGCCAGGGAGGGTGGGCTCTCCAGAAGGCCAGGCTAGCCTTGAACTTGTTCTGTAACTGAGAGTAACCTTGAACTTCTGATCCTCCAGTCTCCACCTCCTGAGTGCTGGGATTACAGACATGAACTACTACACTCCAGTTTTATGCGGTTATAAGGCTCAAAGCCAAGGCTTCTTGCATTCTAGGCAAGAACTCTTTCTCCTAAAACATGTCTGCAGGCTGGAACTGTAGCTCTCAGCACTCATGGGCTCCATGGATCCTCCTATTTCTTTGCCTCCCAAGATCTAGGAGCATGGGGGACATTTACACTCTCATCTTTCTGAGCTCGGGTTCTCTGAGAGGGTTTTCTCTTACAAAGGAAAATAGCCTGCTCCCAGCTGTGTTCCAGATGAGCAAAATTTAATACTTGATCCAGCTTACATAATTGGGTAAATAGCAAAAAAGATATGTTTTCCAATTAAGATGCCAGAAAGTCAAAAATACTTGGCAGAAATTGTTGGCGACAGAGAATAAAGTTCTTACACAACCTGGGAAGTCAAAGGCAGACTCTCTGAGTACCAGACGGTAGCTCCCTTCCCTTGCAGGCCCACTGCCCCTCAGCTCTTCTGTTTCCTATCACTTCACCTTTGCTGTCAGTTCCTAGCTAGCTGGCCTTGCTCCAGTGCCCTTAGCTGCCTGGGTAGCCTTTCTTAACACCTGTAAGCTGCCCACCTCTTGCCACGGGGTAGAAGAGAAGCAGCAGGAGGGTGACTTTGTCCAAAGGAGGTGTCCTGTCCACCCAAAACTGAGTCCTGTTCTCCAAAGAGGAGACAAGTGAAATCACCCATGCTCCGCCTACATGTTCCAGACAGGCTGTTGGGAAAGTGATGGAGGAAGCTAGGCCAGAGAATTTCTGCTGGGAGTTTGGCTCTTGCGCAAGGTACACGAGGCTAAAGGGCAGTGGTTCAAAGGAGCCTTCGCAGCTTCGGCTGATGAGACGCTTGCTGCTGCCAGGCTCCTGTGACTCTCACGGCTAGGCCTGCATCCATTCCCCACAGCCACCTGCTGTCACCAATGACCACGGACTGTGTAGCTTAAGCCTTCATTCCTCCCAGCTCTAAGGGTAGATCCCACACTGTGAGCGGGGCCACAGGTTTCCAGGAAGAAGTGTCTTTCCCAGGCTCTTCTGGTGGCTCCTAGTGCTCCCTGGCATCCCTTCCTTGAGGTTGCATCACCAATCTCCGTCCCCATTACTACAAGGCCTTCCCAGTGTGTCTGTGTGAGATTTCCCCTCCCCTTCCTCATATCCTGGCAGTCATTGGCCTTAAGGCCCAGCCTTGTCCGGTACGACCTCATCTTGACTATATCTACAGAGATCTGATTTCCAAATAAGGTCACATTCTAAGATTACAGGTGGTCGTGAGTTTGGGGAGGGGAGGGACAAGCAGGGTGGGAAACACAACACTGCCGTCTGCAGTGAGTAAACCCTGCTAAGATTCACCAATACAAGGACAGTCTTAGGTGAAGTGAGCCTCTCCTGTCTTGGCCCCATGGCATCAGATTCTTACATGTGAGCTATCTTTTCCCTTCTGTGTCCCCACTGATGCTGGGACTGGGTGTATTTATCCTACACTTGAATGAGATTTTCACCATGTTTGATTAAGGCCAATTGAAGTACTCTACTATGACATGAAATGTTGGATCCAAGCCAGACGTAGTAGCGCACGCCTTTAGTCCCAGAGCTTGGGAGGCAGAGGTAGGAGGACCTCTGTGAGTCAGAGGCCGTCTTGGTCTACAAAGTGAGTTCCAGGACAGCCAGAGCTACACACAGAGAGACTCTGTCTCAACAACAAGTTGACTCCAGCTTGTGCAGGTCACACACTGGTGAGCCACTAGAGCTAAGAAAGATAAAAAGCAAGTGATGGCGTGGACAAAGAAACCAGGTCTCTGGGCAGGGAATGTGGATTGGTGTAGAGTGCCTGCCTAAACAAAGCCCTGGGTTCATTCCCCAGCACCCGGTAAAACAGGAAGTGGTGGTGCATGCCTGTAATCCCAGCACATGGGAGATGGAGGCCTGAGGGTAAGGGGTCCACGGCTATCCTCAGCTGCATAGTGAGTTCGGGGCCTGGCCAGGCTACCTGAAACCTTGTCTCTAAAAGAAAAAGGGACAGTGAAGGGCCTAGAGCAGTGGTTCTCAGTCTGGGGGTCACAACCCCTTTGCCAAATCTCTATCTCATAAAATATTTATATTACAATTCATAACGGTAGCAAAATTACAATTAAGAAGTAGCAACAAAAATAATTTTATGGTTGGGGGTTACCACAATGTGTGGAACTATATTAAAGGGTCGCAGCATTAGGAAGGTTGAGAACCACTGTCCTAGAGTGTATCTCTATTACCTCATCTAGGAAAGGCAGGCACAGACCTTCGGAAGGAGTTCTGACCAGCACATTTCCCAAAGACACTTCAATCCGTGCTGGTAAGCTTCATCATTGCTCTTCCTGGGCGTCTCAAACACTCTGAAGCCATAAAGCCCCAGTGCTCTTCATTTTACACAGTACTGTAGGTTAAATTGTGTTGAAGGTATATGCTGAATTATATCCCATAAATATGTGCAGTTGTGTCTGTTAAAGAGGGGATATGCCAGACATCACCATGTCTTTAATCCCAGCACTTGGGAGGCAGAAGCAGGCGGATCTCTGTGAGTTCCGGGCCAGCTTGATCTACAGAGCAAGTTCCCGGACAGCCCAAGGCTTACACAGAGGAACCCTGTCTTGAATGAAATCTGCCACTAGTTACCTGAGTCCATTCCACTTGTTTTAGGTTTCTGGGGTGCTAAGTGTTAAACTCACAGCCATGTCCATGCTAGCTAAGCATTCTACCAACGGAGCTACACCCCTACCCCCTATCGACCATTTTAATCCTGCCCTTTATGAGTCGGACCGGTACCAGTCCACTCTGGATGATTCCCAGAAGCCACAGTGGAAAGAGAGAAGCAATTCCTGAAAGTTGTCCTCTGACCTCCATAAACATGTTATGGCATGCATACACGTGCACTCACACATACAGACTCATTACACAAAATGTGTGTTGGGATGTCCTCTCTCTCCTTCTCAAGCCTTGCTTTTTCTCCTGTAGGCTAGCAGAAGACCCTGGAGCAGCTCACACACAAGGCTAACGTTTGTGCATGGCTGAAGACCAGGGGGATTTTATAGAACCTGGGCATTTCACACCCATGAAGCAGGAAGCTGGGCCCTGCATCTGGCCTTACCCATGTTCCTTCTCCTCCCTTCTGGAAAGAGAGGAATACTGTTTTTTGGTTAACAAAGTGAAGCATAGGAAGATTAGGCATAGAAACCCAGTATGCTTTAAATAATTTTTAAAATTAACATTATATATATTATTTTGATGTTATAAACTTCTGTTGTCAGCAAGAAAAGTTTTTATATATGAATGCATAGAAGTGCAGTTTTAATGCTTCATTAGTCAAACACAGTTTTAAACTCCTGTTTCAGAATACTAACATTTTTTTAAAGCAACCTAGGATTCCAACTGTGGAACAGAAAAGTAGAAACACATTTGGTTAACAGTTTGCACCCATATATTTAGATATTTTTTGCCAAGATTTTAGCATTAAATTTAGAAATATTTTTATTTTTAAAATAATTTTTTTAGAATTAAAATAGACCTTTGTGAAAGGCAAGTTTTTGTAAGGAGGTTACCATCACCAAAAAGCCACACTACAGTTTATTATTTTATTATTATTATTTTTAAAATGAGTGGGACTCAAACCGGGAGTGGTAGCTGAAGCCTGTAATCCCAGCACTCAGGAGGCTGAAGCAGAGGATTACTTTGAGTTTAAGGCCTGCCTGGACTACCTAGTGAAACCGTGTAAACTAACAGATCCTCAACTAGTTCTTCTCTTTTTCTTCAGAAAAACTGGCTTTAAATTTACTTACTGGGAATCCCTAAGATTCTTTTAAAATAGTAACAATCAACTACATTGCAGTTATCTCGTTCAGAGTAAGACAGGTTTTGTTTGTTGGTTGGTTGGTTGGTTTGACGGGGTTTCTCTGTTTTAGCCCTAGCTGTCCTGGAACTCACTCTGTACACCAGGCCTGGCCTCGGAAGTCACAGAGGCCTCTGCCTCCTGAGTGCTGGGATCAAAGGTGTGTGCCGCCGCCGCCACCACCACCACCACCACCTGGCTGAAAGTAAGACGGTTCTACACAGAAAGCTCCATTAAAGTGCACAATACATGTGAAACTAATTAAGAAGTAATTACTTCCTCTATAGATGTAAGATCTAGTGTGAGTTCCTGATTATTGGGCCAGGTGGTAACAGTCATATCTACTGTGAGTAATAGCACTATTACTTGTTAACCTTCTGTTAGTGAACAAATACCAAATCAAAAAGGAAAGTTTGTTTCGGTGCTAGACGGTGAAGGTCTCTGTTTTCTTTTGTTTTGAGACAGGTTCTCATTATATAGCTCAGGCTGTCTTGGAACTCAATATGTAGAACAAGCTGGCCTCCAAGTCACAAAGGTCTGCCTGCCTCTGCCTCCCAAGTGCTAGGATCAAAAGAGTGTTCCACTACATCTGGCTAATTGTGAAGGTTTTAGTCCATGGTTGGTCGAGACAGTGAAAAGGCCAAGAATCATGGCAGGAGCCATAGTGAAGTTCATTTCATGGCCATTGAAGAGAGAGAAGGGAGAAAGAGAGGAGGTGGGTTCCTTGAATTTCTAAGCCCCTCTCCAATTATTTCAGCCTATTTAAAATTCTAAGTAAAAGTATGCATTTTTTAAAAGAGTATATTAATTGTGGTTGGTGAGATGGCTCAGCAGTTAAGAGCACTTGCTGCTCTTACTGTGGGTTCAGTTCCCAGCACCCATGTGGAAATTTATAACCGTCTGTAACTCCAGTTCAGTGTATCTGATGCCCTCTCCTGACCTCTACAAGAAGCACACACATGCACATGGTACAATACATACATGTAGGCAAACATATTCATACATGTAAAGACAAATATTTTTAAAAGAGGGCATTAGTTTTATTAAAATGATCCAGTTGTTTTTATCATATGTCAAACCTTAATAGTTATAGTATAACTATTAGAATCCTATATGGCAAGTGAAAAAGGTGGTATTTAACACATTTTTCTAAACAAAATTCAAAAGATTGTTTCTTTCAAAGTTTTTTCATTTAAACATTTTTGAGGGTGGATCTGACTGTGGCTTGTTGGTGGAGTGCTTCTTTAGCATACACTGACTCCTGGGTTCAGTCCCCAGAATGGAATAAAACCAGGTGTGAGAACACTTGTTTCTAATCCTAGCACTTGGGAGGTGGAGGAAAAGAGAATCAGATGTTCAAAGTCATCCTTGGCTATAGAACAAGTTTAAGACCAGCCTGGTCTTCATGAGACCTTGTCTTAAATTTTTGTTGTTGTTGTTGGAACTACTGAATATATTTCTAGCCACACATAAACATAAATTTATACAGAAGTGTGCACAGACAGACAAAATACAGCATTTAAACCAAGTTTATAACGGTCTTTACAAAGTCCAAAGCATAGTCATACCCATTTCCCAGATTACTGGGAAGAAACAATGTGCTTTTCCAAACCCTGTCTTGAAAAACCAAATAAATAAATAAAGGAAGAAAGGAAGGAAGGAAAGAAGAAAGGAAGGAAGAAAGGAAGGAAGGAAGACACAAATTATCAAAATCTTAACCACCCACTAGTTAAATAGTTTAGATGAAATAGCAAATTCTTGAAAAGCTGTAAATTATCAAAACTGGTTCAGGACTAGATCAAGAGCAAGTGAATTGGTAATTTAAATCACTCCACAACGGAAATGCTAAGGCCAGGCAGATTCACTGGTAAATTCTATCAAATGTTGTGAAGGGGATGGTATGATGGCTAAGTGGCTAAAGATGCTTTGCTGTTAAGCCTAAGAACCTGAGTTCCATCTTCAGGACCTACTTGGTGGAAGGAGAGAACCAATTCCTAAATGTTTGTTTTCTTGACTCCATGAATACGCTGTGCTATTTACATATTTACACATATTCATTTACAAATCTTTACACATATATAGACACAAAATAAATAAATCTGATGAATGTTTTAATTATTAAAATATTTTTAAAGACTGTGCCAAGAGTAGTTAATGAAGTATTTTCATTCATAAATTCCCAGTTTTAAGCAGGGGACCCAATCTGATTTAATAGCAATGAAGAAAAGTTCAAACACTCATGTCACCCGTAGACAGGAGATGGAAACTGGCTAGACAGGTCAGAGGCAGAGACCCTGACACTGAACAATTCCTTTCTTATCCTGGGCCAAGAACTCAGAAGGAAGCTCTAGTTTCTTATCTCTACACCTATGGGAACCACATTTGAGGCCATATTTGAATGTGTGAACAAAACTACACTCTAGCTGGTCTCCCTTCTGGTAAACAGCTTTAGAATTAGTCTCTAGATTTTTTTTTCATAGTGAAAATGAGTCATATCACAACAAAAACAAGATGCTAGTGTAATGGTACTTGCCTTTAAATGTACTTGCCTTGGGGAGGTAGAGGCAGGTGGATTTCTGTAAGTTTAAAAGCAGCCTAATCACTACTAAATAGTAAATTCCAGGTCAGCTAGGGTTACACAGTGAGACCTGTCACAAAAGAGGAGGAAGACGAAAGAAAAAGAGAGAGAAAATAGGCTATATTAATATCCCAGTTTTAGCCCACCTCCTAAAGAGAAAGCTATTTCCACCTGATTAGAGAGCATAACCTGCTTCTAGTCCTTGGTAGAGACATAAACAAACCATTGTCTCTTGCTTTAAGAGTTAATCAGGAGAGAGCGGGACGTCGGTCTTTGGGACGTATCATTTCTGGTGCCAACCAGCCCAGCGCAAATTAAAAAATGGGTGATGTTGAGAAAGGCAAGAAGATCTTTGTTCAGAAGTGTGCCCAGAGCCGCAGTGTGGGAAAGGGGGGCAAGCGTAAGACTGGGCCCAATGTCCACGGTCTTTTTGGGTGGAAGACAGGTCAGGCCGCTGGATTCTCCTACACAGATGCCAACAAGAACAAAGGTTATCACCCGGGAGGGGATACCCTGATGGAGTATTTGGAGAATCCCAAAAAGTACATCCCTGGAACAAAAATGATCTTTGCTGGAATTAAGAAGAAGGGAGAAAGGGCAGACCTAATAGCTTGTCTTAAAAAGGCTACCAATGAGTAATTCCCATTGCCTTATTTATTACAAAACAAATGTCTTATAGCTTTTAATGTGTACCATAATTTAATTCATACATCAAAATTCAGATCATGGATGGCTAACAATAATTTTCTTGGACAGTCCCAATTTAAGTAAAACTGATTTATCGTAAAGTGGATATGATCTTTTTTAAAATAACAATCCAGTTGCGTAGATACTATCACTGCTCTTCCTTTCTCAAGATAAGATTGGACTTAAGTAGTAATGTTCTGCTTTCTACAAAGATGGGGGTGTCACCTCAAAACTATTATATGGTTTTGTACTTAAATGTATATATATGGGCATCTGAATATGTTTAAACCCTGGGAAAACTCTGTCATTGTCTCAGAAACAAGAAGACTCACCTGCGTCTCAGTTTGTGCTCACTGGTCTGTTACAGGCAGTGGCTAAACATCAGGAAGCAACTGTTCTTGATGATGCCATTTTAATTAGAATTCCCTACGTCAAGGATGCTGGCTGCCCTGTCATCACTGAAAGACACTGACTGTGGTTTACATACGATATCAGATAAAGAATATTTAATACTTCAAAAAAAGAGTTAATCCAGAGCTGAGTATGACACACACCTTTAATCCAATCACTCAGGAGGCAGAAGCAGGTGGATCTCTGTGAGTTTGAGGCCAGTCTGGTCTACAGAGTGAGTCCAGGACAGCCAGGGCTCTGTTACACAGAGAAACCCTGTCAATCACCTGGACTATCCCCCAGGAAGCCAGCCATACTTAAGAAATTGTCTTAATGAGACAATCTCTTGTTCTCCCCAGAAACCCCACTTATAGAGCCACTGCTGTGGAGCCCTAAGTGAGTCTGCCTTCTGAGGCCTAATTCAGAAAAAAATGTAACTTTCCTTTCTTTCCCTAGGACTCTGCCCAAAGTCGAAGCAGGCTTTCTTTGCCATCTGAAGTTGCTCACTGCTTCTCTGAAGCTATCCACTTTTGCCATGCAGCCAGTTGCTGACCTGCATCTGCTTGCCAATGTCCACTGCTGAACATGTTGGCCTAACTCAAAAAGCATGGCTTTCTCTCTTCCTCACCTTTCCCCTCCCTATGGCTGACTGTTGTTTCTCTCAGTCTCTAATAAAATTGTTCCCAAGCTCCCGACTGAGTTCATTTTTCAGTTCTTTTATTATAGAGTTTACAAGCCCAAAGAAGGAACCCTAGTTTCCCTGGTACCATATGGCATCCAAAGTGGGACTCCCCAAAATTTCCAGTAACACCATTAAGATACAGTCACATATTAGAAACTTCATTATTTTCATGCAGCGGTAGGCAAGGTTAAATATTACTAAATTTTTTTTTTTTACATTGCTGTTTTTGTAATTCGGTTCATGTGTGTTTGTGGACATAACGCTGGGCAGTGTGCATAAGGAGGTCAGAAAAACAACTTCTGGGGCTCTCCTCCCAGCATGTGGGTTCCTGGGATGGAGGTCAGTGGCAGTGCCATTATCAGATAAGCTGTATCGCCAGCCCTGGGTATTTCTTTCCATGTCTATTTTCAAGCTTTCCTATGAGAAAACTATCTCCCCGAGAGAAACTCTGTGGATGTAGAAATGCACAGACTAACCCTGTTGCCTGTCTACTGTCCATGAGGCAGTACTAAAATGAGTAGGAGCCAGCCACTGCCATTGAGACGATCAGGAGAGAAGCCCATTACACCCATAGCTGAAGTGTCAGAAAGTACAACTTTTAAAAGAAGTTTTAAAAAGGGATGCATTCACATTAGATGTGGCCACTAGGGAAGATATGGGGGTGCGGGGGTGGGGAGGTAGGGAGTAGCTGAGGCAAGCCTGGCATAGTAAGGATTTTGACAGAAAACGAGGAGAGGATCTATAAAGAAGGCACACTCATCCTTATTCACTAAAGCATAGCGCTGAGTTGTTTCGGAGATTTTCTACAATATAGTTTATAAACGGTAACACCGGCCTACCACGTCTACTCCCTCAGGGACAGCTGAGGCTGTTAGACAGGCTGCCTACAATATCCTCTTACTAATAAGCCCAACCCCCTCCCACCCAAGAATATGCATGAGGATACGAGGTTTGCTTTTATAATAGGACATGTTTGGCTATGCTTCAGTGTTTTTGCATATGTACATGTATGATAATATGTATGTGAGTGTATGTGTGTACACCTGCACTGGCGTGGATGAATGAATTTTCCCGGTTTTCTACCTTATTTGCTGACATAAGATCTCTCTCTTGATAGGGGACAGGGTCTCACTGTGTAACTCTGGCTGACTTGAAACTATGCTACCACTTGCCGCTGCCTCCTGAGTCCTGGGAACTGAAGGTGCAAAGCACCATGGTTGGGTTAGGTAGAGTCTCTTAATTCAGCATGGAGCTTGATTGCATGGCTTGTCTGGCTAGCCACCTTGCTCCAGGGATTTCCCCTCCTCTAATTTCCCATGTGCTGGGATTACAGGTGGGCTCTGAGAGTTAGAACTTGAGTCCTCATACCGTGTGGCAAACATTTCACACATGAAGTCATCTCCCAAGCCATGCTAAATTTTTAACTTTAATTAGTGTTTTAGTCAAAGATTGTTCACTGCCTGGATGCCGGTATTGATCCCTTACTGGATGTCAATAAAGCCATCAATGGTATAAGAAGGTGGAAAATGGTCTTGCATGTAAGTCAAAGAATTTAAACAGTGATGAGGACTTAGGCTACATTTAGGAAGATCACCTGGGAATGTAAAGAAAGAGACAGTGCTACAAGGAAGCTTCATTTAGTTAAGAGGGATCAGAAACCTGAATCAACTGGGCTTGGTGACTGATGACTATAATCCCAGTACCTGGAAAGCTGATGCAGGAGGATTGCCAGTTAAAGGCCAGCCTACATAACAAGACCCTGTCTCAAAAATACAAAGACAGAGTGTAAAGCAAGATGGTGCTGGAAAAGAGATGGCATTAGGAATTGTGACAAATACAGCTTTATGAGAATATGAGCCTGTGACCTCTGTATTTGCCACCTCTAGCTCAGTTTTGACCTGGTGGAACCAGCTGTTTGGGTTCCTACCTAGCTAGCTTTTCTCCTAACTATATGACCTTGCGCTCTGACCTTCGTGCCTTCTTTTCTCAACAAGATGAGACTAACAACAGTGTTAAGGTCATAGAACAGTTAGTTTCAAGGATTTAATGCAGTTAATAAAGCACTTGGGAGAATGTCTGATACACACACACACATATACTCTACACAAACACAGCTTTTCAATTAGTGAAACATTGTACCCTTAACAAGAAACAAAAATAATGTGGGGACACGATAGTCTACGGCACGAGGTATAAGACGAGATTTCCAAGAGAAATGCCATTGAGGACAGGAGGTTAGAGAATTAAGGTAGGGAGACTGAGAGCGCCAACTCCCACCATTTCCCACTATGGTTGACAGCCTTCCTAGGTCCTACCTAGATTCAGTCCCACTGGTCACCTGCATTAGTACCTCCAAAAGCTCAGGCCCTTCCTAATAGCGAATCTTGCCACCGCTGTGCCTTCAGTTTGGAAAGGAAGAGACAGCTTAGATATAACAAATGGCAGCTTAGTGACTTAGAGGTGAATATGAAACTCCTTCACATACAGTAATTAAATCCCCAAGAACACTGGTGCCTTCTACATAAGAAAGGTTAAAGGTGAGTACAGGACTACTGAGTAACCGGAAAAACCCAGAGCAAGGTTCTATGGAGACCCACTAAAGATTACGAAGCAAGGAGGGTGAGGACTAAGAATGGATGGATTTTCCTATAGCTTCAGGAGATAAGTCTAATAAGTAATTTTCCGTTGAAGTTGGTCGGTGAAGGCAGCGGTCAAAGCGTTGGGAAAACGAATACTATAGAGTGGTTCTACCTATGTATATAGCGGTAAGGAGAGACGGGAAAGATGATTTTTAAGGACAAATCCCAATTTCAGGGTGTGGTTAAGAGAGCGAGGAAGCAGACGTAAAGGGCACAAACAGGGACCGAGCCCAGTTTTATCTGATGTCCTCGAGAATACACCTTCCGAAGGTCCTCATCTCCGCGATAAGGGCCCATTCTGGGGTCCCCTTGCAAGGCGTGGTGACAGGCTTGCCGTCGGCCCTCTGCAGCGCAGAGCATGGCGGCTCGGCCTCAGAGGGGACCCCAGCGCGTCCTGACCACCCGGGACAGGCAGACCTGGCGGGACCTGCCGCGGCCCAGCAGCCTTTCTGCCGGCTGAGGCCTCCACGCACGCCGCCCCGCGGCCCCAACCCCGGGATCCCGCTTCCGGAGGAGGGGTCTGGGCTGGGCTGGGGCGGACGGGTCCAAGTCGCGCCCGTCGAGGGGCCGTCTCACCCTTCCACCCCCGCCCCGAGAGGAGAGGCCGGACGATGCGGCGGAGTAAGGGACAAGGGCTACCCGCGGACAAGGCTCGGGGCATCCGTGGGCTTCAAAGCGGAACAGAGAAGCCAACCACCCGCTGCGGTCGCCGGTCCTTACGAGCTGCCACCCCGCGGCCCCGGCAGGGAGGATGCGAAGTGGCGCAGGGGAGAAATCTCGCGATAGCAGGCCTCCGGGGCGGGGGTGGCGCCTCTTCCTCTCCTCCTGCTCGCGTTAGTTCCGGTCGCAGAGGAGACAGCGCCGCAGTTGCCGCCAGCTCGGGGATTTCTGGCTCTTTTCTCTTCGCCTTAAATTCGGTGAGGCGAGCGCGGCGCAGGGCCGGGGGACGGCGGCGCGCCGCGGCCCGGCGGAGGGCGAGGGTGGCGGCGCGGTTCGGAGGGGCCGGCGGGAGCCGGGGCCTGGATTCGTGGCCGGGGCCGCCGCTCTGGTGGGCGGGCGAGGCCGCGGGGCGCCGGGGTGGCGGCGCGCCCCGGGTGCGCCCCGGCCGGCCTGGGTAACAAAGCCACCGCGGCCTCTGTTGGGTGATGTACGCGTGGGGGGTTCGGCGGGCGGGGCGCGGCGCGGCGCAGCCGCCGCCACCACCGCCGCGGCCGCCGCCTCCGCCGCTGCTTTCGCGGGAGGGCGGGCGGATGTACGGGGCGGCGGGGGCCCCGGCGCGCAGCGCCTCGGCGCCTGTGGTCCGCTCGGCGCGGCGGCCACCACCGCAGGCGACAGGGTCGGTGGAGAAGGGCCCCCGGCGCTCTGGGAGCCGCCAGCCGGGCCCTGCGAGGCGGGAGGCACGTGCCCCGGGAGGAGGCGGCCTAGGCTGTAGCGTTTGTGGCCAGCTCTCAAGTTTTGCACCTTGGAAGGGTGCAAGCGGTCTCCGCGGCCCCGGGCGACACTTTGGAGTGAGGGCAGTGCTGGTGCTGTTCGGGAGAGATTCGCTTTGACAGATAGCTCGTGACCGTGGCGGGCCGCTAAGTTCCGGTTACTTAGAAAAAGTGGGAGATGCAAAGAGCAATTAGGTTTGTGATAGGCCACCAGACAGGGTAATACTGTAATGCCATATCGAGGTGTAGTTCCAGCACTTCCTTGAAGGTATTCTTGTAGAGGAATACTTAGCTGCACCAGCTCTGTTGCCGGTTAACTGAACGTATGCTCGGTTTGCGTTAGTTGTGATTTTGACTTAAGGTTGGATACCTAGAAGTTAATGTTCCTGGCACAGGTGCTTTTAAGGCCGTTTCTTTTTTTCTAGGGTGTCTTTTATGAATAATCAAAAGCAGCAAAAACCAACGCTATCAGGCCAGCGTTTTAAAACCAGAAAAAGAGGTAAATATTTGTTAATCTCCCTTAAGCTATCAGACATTTCTTGTGTCTTGGTTTTTCTCACAGTCAGCTGCGTGTGTTACTAAACCCTCAAAAGAGAAACTAACAAACTTGAGTTTCTAGCTAACTGCTGTTTCAGATGACAGCTCTTATTGCTTCTACTTCTTTCTCAAACCTTCACTTTTTGGTATGAGTATTCCTTTTAGTGTGGAAACTAGTGGCAAAAAATGAAGATGTGGCATTAAAATCATAGATTTAAGAAGTTTGAACAAAGAAGGATAAAAGAAAGGGGGACAAATTTCACCTAGATTTTGTGGAGATGCGTGATGGGCTCATTGAGAGTGTCTAACATGCTCTAGGTCTTGGAAAAGATGTGGGAGAAAAATCAGATTTTTTTTAACTTACAGAATTATAGAATGGGATTCACATTGAAACTTTTTTTTTTTTTTTAAGGTTTAATAGGCTCTCAGAGTGTAGCTCAGGCTGGGCTCCAACTCCCTTCAAAGTGCTGAGATTAAAGGCATGAGCTCCTACTGCCAATCCAGTCTGGGCACTGAACCTAGGACTGTCAGAGGCAGACAGATTCTTGAGTTTGAGCTCAGCCTGGTCTGCGGACTGAGTTCCAGGGCATCCAGGGCTACACAGAGAAACCCCGTGTGTGTGAGAGAGAGTATGTGTTGCACTTTAAATAGTATTCTTTGAAAGCACACATTGGCTAGGCATGATGCCACACAACTTTAATTCTGGCAGAAAATGAAGGGGTCTATTTAATGGTAGAATTTCAGTCCACCTAGGGCTACATGAGATCGTGTCTCAAGAAGTGGAACACACATTAACCTATTAAGTAATTTGGCAGATACAGAGATTGAACCAACCACTGGTCTTAGGTTGCTTCTGGTTTTCTACCTTTCATAGGCAGTTTGACATACATATGCCAGCATCTCTTTGTACTCTCCATAGTCTGTCCTCCTGTGGTAAAACCAAAGTGTACTTTTATTCTAGTTTGTAGGTACAAATTTAGCAGTAAAGGTTTTCTTTAATTTGTCAATAACAAATCTTACGTATTCTCTGAGTTTTTAGATTCCTGGCCACCATAGTGATGGCGCTGATAGTTTGACTTTTGTTGATAGCATTGAGGAGGTGTCACTTCCTTAAAATCCAGATAAAGCTCTTCAGGCCTGGTATATTATGTGGCACGTGCCTCTAAGCCTGCACTCACAAGATTGAGGCAAAAGAGTAATTGGACCAGCCTAGGACACAAGAGGCCCTGTCTTTAAACCCTCCCCAAGGGGAAAAATAACAGAAAGGGCTCACGTATGGCCTCCTGGTACTAGGTGTAGTCACCCATGTTTACCTAGAGCTAAGGGAGTTCTGAAGACTAAAAGCTAAGGACTTTTAGTAAAACCAAGAAAGTCCTGGAAAAATAATTTCTCTCTCTAATAGTTTGTAAAAGAAATCATGTATTAGTTGGCCGTAGTGGCACAACACCTTTAGTCCTGGCACCAGGGAGGCAGAGGTAGGAGGATTGCTGTGAGTTCCGGGGCAGCCAGGGTTCTGTTACACAGAGAAACCTTGTCTCAAAAAACCAAAAATGAAGAAATCAGATATCTAGCCTCACCTGACAGGTGTGAAGATTCACATGTTAACCTTAATTGGCAAATCAAGACATTCTCAAAGAGCTGGGGTGCATGTTGTCAACACTTGACTAGCATGTGTGGGGCCCTGGATTCATCATCTCCAGCATCACAAGAAACAAAAGCACCTGCCCTGCAGCATGTGAAAGGCCGCACGAGTTAGTAGGGCTAAGTGCTTCCTGTTGTGTGCTAGTCAGTACTCACAGAAACTTTATCAGATACATGTTATTTCGAAAGGGAATATAGATACTGAAAATGGCTAGTTTGGGTCTGGAGAGATGTTTCAGCAGTTAAGAGCACTTGCTGCCTTTTTTTTTTTTTTTAAAGATCTATTTATTATTTATACAGCATTCTGTCTGCATGTGTGCTTGTGCACCAGAAAAGGCCAACAAATCTCACTATAGATGGTTGTTAGCCACCATGTGGTTGCTGGGAATTGAACTCAGGACCTTTAGATGAACAGTCAATGTTCTTAACCTGTGACCCATCTCTCTAGCCCCCACTTGCTGCTCTTGTACAGGATTTGGGTTTGATTCCCAGCACCCATTTCAGACAGCTCCCATTTGCGTGTAACTGCAATTCCAGGAGAAACAGTACCCTCTCCAGGCCTCCTCAGGCTCCAGGCACACATGTGATACACATATGCATGTAAGCATTCACTATGTAAAAGTTGTACAAATGCGCAGGCATCCTGGAAATCAAGATTGCAGCCGGGTTGGCTTTGTTTATTTTGAGGCAGGGTCCACATAGCCCTGACTGTTCTGGAACTCAGTATGTAGACCAGGTTAGCCTCAACTTCCTGAGTGCTGGATTAAAGAAAAGCCAAAGTGTTATGGACATATAAAAGAAAGGGAGAGATCCCCTAAAACCTTAAGAGCAGTATGCCCAGCTGGGCCTGGGTGGTGCACACCTTTAATCCCAGTACTTGGAGGCAGAGACAGGCAGATCTCAGTGAGTTTAAGGACAGCCTGGTCTACAAAGCAAGTCCAGGACAGCCAGAGCTTTACAGAGAAACCCCTCCTCAGAAAACCAAGAGGAATATGGCCATACATACAACTACATAGCAAAACCTTGCCCCCCAAAAACAAAACAGCCATGCTGGTGGTAACACACCTTTAATCTCAGCATCCAGGAGGCAGAGGCAGGAGGATCTCTGGGTTTAAGGCCAGCCTAGTCTACATAGTCCCAGGACAGCCAAGGCTACACAGAACCCTGACTCAAAAAATCTGAGAGTTAAAAACAAAACAGGGCGAGGGGTATAGTTGAGTAGATTGTGTGCAGGACATATGTAAAGCCCTAGAGTCTGTTTCCAGAACTTAAGAGGCAGAGACGAAGAGTCCTTAGTTGAACATGGAGTGTTTTAGACCACCTTGAGGCAAATGGGATCCTGTCTCAAAACAAAAAGGGTCTCAAGAGATGGCTCGGTAAAGTGCTTGTCACACAAGCGTGAAAACCTGAGTTTGGTCCCTGGTACCTATGTCAAAGCCAGGCATAGTAGTTCCTGCTTGTGATTCAAGCATGGGTGAGGAGAGACAGTATTCCTGTAACTTGTTGACTAGCCAGTCTTGCCAAAGTGAGCTCTAGGTTCAATGAAAGGCTTTCTTAATAATACGGATACAAGTTAGCAAGTACCAGGACCAACCTAATAGAACCCGGGCTTGACTGGCTAATTAGTGCTTGCACATCCTGTGCAAGACTGAGTTCTGTCCTCAGTTCTACAGCACTTGGAAGTGCAAGGCAAGGCAGATACCTGTAACCCGGGGGCGGGGGGGGGGGGGGAAAGGGACGGGTCTTGAGAGTGCAAATTTTTTTGAGGAATAAAGTATGCTTGGTATAGAAAGGCAATGTTAAGGGGGTTTGTTTTGTTTTTATTTGATTTTGAGACTGGATTTTATTTTGTAGACCAGGCTGTCTTGGAACTCAGATCTACCTTCCTCTGCCTTTAGTTAGTTAGATAGTTAGTTTGTTTGTTTGTTTTTGGTTTTTGAGACAGGGTTTCTCTGTGTAGCCTTGGCCGTCCTGGACTTGCTTTGTAGACCAGGCTGGCCTCAAACTCACCGGGATCACCTGACTCTGTCTCCCCTAGTGTTGGGATTACAGACATGTCCTCTGAGCCAGGCTTTGTAGTGCTGGGATTAAAGGTTTATGCCACCATGGCTGGTGTAGGTTCCTTAGAACAGTCTGGTAACAGTGGGACCAGGAGGTCCAGCACATCCAGCTTGCAAAAGTGGAGCAGCCCGGCAGTCAGTGAGTCCTTGACCACGTGAGTTGTCCTGTCTTGGGCTTGCTAGGGGGACACTGTGTGTCTCATCTTTCTTCCCCCAGTCCTGAGTCCTTACTTGCCTTTTTTCAGCTGTTGAATTAAATAAAGCTCAGTAATTGGATTAATTTATCTTATTAGCCGATTTATGCCATTTTTTATAAGCTCTTGAAATTGATTTTTTTTTTCTCTCTTTCCAGATGAAAAAGAGAGGTTTGACCCTACTCAGTTTCAAGACTGTATTATTCAAGGCTTAACTGAAACTGGTACTGATTTGGAAGCAGTAGCTAAGTTTCTTGATGCTTCTGGAGCAAAACTTGACTACCGCCGCTATGCAGAAACACTCTTTGACATTCTGGTGGCTGGCGGAATGCTGGGTAAATATCTCGGTTTTGTGGGTCTGATTTAGGAAAGTGATATACAGAGATAATGGAGAAACCAGAATGTGAGCTTTTGACAAACTGGACAAGAGGGGTGGGTTTTGGTTGTATTGTGTTGTGTTTTGTTTCTACCCCTTGTAGGCTAAGGGTTAGAGATTTTAAGATAGGGTTGATTCCTGTGCCAGCCCCTCCACCTGGTCAACAACCCATCTGCCTCAGCCTCCCAAATGCTGAGATTACAGATAGCTGCCCCCACATCTGGCTTCAGTAAACTTCTTTGGATTTTAATTCATCTTAGAGTGTTACCATTTTATTTCATATTGGAAAAATTTACCAGTATATAAACCTGAATAAGCAAGGTTACTGTAAATTAAAATACTGTTAAAACACTTTGTTAGCCCCAGGTGGTACACTGGCAGATGACATGATGCGCACAGATGTCTGTGTGTTTGCAGCACAAGAAGACCTAGAGACCATGCAAGCATTTGCTCAGGTGAGCGAACCTGTCCATCATAGCACTGCCGTCCATCTGGCTAATGTCTAAGGGATAGATGTTCTGCTTTATAAAGGTTGCAGGTAGATTTTAAGTTTTAAGGGTATAGGTCTTGATGAAATATTGTGGGTTAGAAATTCATGTTCAGGAATAAAATAAATTTGCTGTAGTTTGTGAGTTTGTTTTTTGAGACAGGATTTTTCTGTGTAACAGGTTGTCGTGAAACTCACTTTGTAAACTCACAGAGATCTGCCTGCCTCAGCATGCCCAGCCTTTACTCTCTTTCCTGTTTTTGAGCAGCAAAAATATTTTTTTTATTATTATTATTATGAGTCTATACACATGAGTGCAGGTGTCCTCAGAGACAGGCATCAGACCCTCTGAATCTGTAGAACTGGCACTTTTGAGCCCACCATTGGGAATGCTGGGAACTGAACTCTTGCAAGAGTCGTGGACACGCTCACCCACCCAGTCAACTGTCTAGCTCCTGAATTTGTTTCTCAGAATTACTCTTTAAGAAAGGCAGTAAAACAGGTTGGCTAGTCCTTGAGAAATTGAGGCAGGAGGGTCAGGAATTCAAGACCACCCTCAGGTTTATAGGTTTATAGTGTGTTCATTGCCAACCTGGACTAGGTGAGAGTGTTTAAGACCCTCCACACAAAGAAAGGTACTAGGCTGGTAATTCATGCTTTTAACTCCAACATGCAGGAGACAGGCTAGAAAATTTGAGGGAGACAGTGACCAAAAAAAAAAAAAAAAAAAGTGAAAATGAACAGAAACATCAGTATTATATTGTGGTTGCTGTACTGAGCAATTTTCATTTTGAAGAAAAAAATGTATTTATTGATGGAAGCTGGGGTCTCACTTTGTAGTCCAACATAGGCTTGAGCTGAAGCAGCCCTCACACCGCACCCTTCCCAGTGCTGAGAGCTCTGTTGCCACATTCAGCTTCGTAATTACATTCTAGGTTATCCAACCCTGGAATTTGCTCTCTGTGACTAGGAAGAGGATAGCTGTATTCTATGGTCTTACTGTTATTTGAACCAAAGTTAATTGGTCTTTGGTCAGCATACAGTGATAACTTACTGAGACATGACTATTGCGTGTTCGTATTAAGTGTGGTGAGATGATACAAGTGGAGAGTCCTCCTTTTGATTCTAGGAATGACTTGGATTTTCTTCTAGGTTTTTAACAAGTTAATCAGGCGCTACAAATACCTGGAGAAAGGTTTTGAAGATGAAGTTAAAAAGGTATGAGGAGTATAAAATGGGGCTTACTTTGGGATGATAGCTCCCAAATAATGACATGGAGACTTATGTTTATTTATTAATGCTGAAGCCTTCAGCTAAGGCTTCTTCCTAACTAGCTTGTAACTTCACTTGTCCTGTTTACAATAATCCAAGTTTGGCCACATGACTCGATATTACCTCTCCTGCAGTCCCAGCCTGCTTCTTGCTTCCAGTTTGGCTGGGCTGGCAATTCTTCCCTCCCTACCCGCTCTGTCCTAGAAGTCCTACCTCCTTTCCTCCATCAGCTTTTTAATTGAATCCAATCAGGAGTGCACAAAGATGTTCTCCCAGCAGAGGAGGAATGGGGTAGCCATGTACTTAAACAGCACCCGGTGTACAGTCCTAGTACCAGAATAGAAAGGGAAAAGGTCAGGTAGGGAGATATTAAGTTCTAATCCAGCCACAGGTTGGACATAGTATTAGATGCTTAAGTAGGCTCTTGAAACATCACTTAGTTGCTGAAATCTTTGAAACTTATGTATTTAACTTAGTGTTGTGTTGAAACCAATGGCAGTTAAAAATCTAGGAATTTGCTGGGCACAGTGGTATACACCTGTAATCCCAGCACGCTGAAGTAGAGGCAGGTATCTCATGATTTCAAGGCCAGCCTGGTCTACAAAGCAAGTCCAGGACAGCCAAGGCTACACGAGAAACCCTGTCTCGAAGAAAACAAAACAAAAAAATTAGGAATTGTTCAGAAGATGAAGAGTAAAGGATCAGAGATGTTAAAAAAATTACTTGTATTTGAATCCTAATGCTAGATATTTCATAAATGGGTGTAGCAGCAGAAAGTCTGACAAAATTAACCTTCAGTATCATCAGTTTCTGTTCACCCTGCAGGGTGAGTTTCATTTTTAACATTTAATGTGTAATAAAACCAAGACAGAGACTAATAAGTAGTTTGCCCAAGATTGTTGTGTTAGTGAGTCTTATGATGGAGATATAAATGTGAATGGTTGGGCATTAACTGAATTAGTTTGTTTCACCACTTCTCTTACCATAATGCAAGCGCTCTTTTAACCCTAACTATTTACTTTCACAGTTACTGCTCTTCCTAAAGGGATTTTCAGAGTCAGAGAGGAACAAGCTCGCCATGTTGACTGGGGTTCTTCTGGCTAATGGGACACTGAATGCATCCATTCTTAACAGCCTTTATAATGAGAACTTGGTTAAAGAAGGTGATTAGCTTTTGAACTGTTGTAAAAGCATGGTGTACTGTGTGTGGATGGGTGTGTGCATTTTAATGTGTGCTTGGAAGTGGGGAGGAACTTCGGGTGTCCTTTGTTGATAACTACTTGGGTGCATAGAGTCTTTCACTGACCTGGAACTGAGTAGGTTGAGCTGGTCAGTGAGCCTGAGGGAGTCATTTGCTCCCATCTCCCTAGTGCTGGGATTACAAGTACACCCCAACTCGCCCTTTTTTCCTCATCCTTCAACATGAGTTCTGGATATTAGGTTCATACTATCATGTTTGCAAGGCAAAAGTTTCGAAAAGTCTCGAAATTTTTTAGACTTATTTGTATCTTTGTGTGAATTTCTGTACACCACATGCATGTAGGAATCCTTGGAGGCCAGAGGAGAGTGTTGGGTTTCTAGAAACTTAAGAGTTACAGGTGTCTCTGAAGTACATAGGTGCTGTGATCCAAACTCAGATCTTCTAAAGAGCAATTGCTCTTAACCGTTGGAAACACCCGTCTTTCCAGCCCCTTAGAAAAGTGTTTTAATGCATTCCAGTTTAGTTGGCACGTATTCATACCTTTAGCATCCAAGTTTTAGAGTACTGAGTATCCATGGTTGAAGCAAGTATGAGTGTACTAAAATGAGTTCCACGGAAACTCAGAAACTCATGTTTATTGAGGAACTCGGGAGTTAAGGCAAGGCAAGCACTCTAGCAACTGTGCCACATTCTTAGTCCCTGCAGTCATTTCTTAACCGTCCTTCCTGCCCCCAGTACTACTAAGTAGCTGAGAATTTAAGGTCCCTTTAGTTCTCACAATAGCACTGGTTAGCATATAAATTGTCAACTGCAGCTGGATCAGTAACTTAGCCAGTGACAGAATAGGGGACTTGGAGTGAAATGGTCACATTGGCACAGGAAAGTGGGGGGTTTGGCTGGACTTGAAGAAACTGAGGAATGTGCATCTATTAGAAAAGTGACTTTGTTTTACAGGGGTTTCAGCAGCATTTGCTGTAAAGCTCTTTAAATCATGGATAAATGAGAAAGACATCAATGCAGTCGCTGCAAGTCTTCGGAAAGTCAGCATGGACAACAGACTGATGGTTTGTACCTTTCCTTCTCCTTCCAACCATTCATTGATGTAATGGTAACATTTTCTTGTTTTTTAATTGAAAACCTGCTTCTTCGTTTTGTGTAAAGACCACTTAACTGATTTTCTTTCAGGAGCTGTTCCCTGCCAATAAGCAAAGCGTCGAACACTTCACTAAGTATTTCACCGAGGCAGGCTTGAAGGAGCTTTCAGAGTATGTCCGCAACCAGCAGACCATTGGGGCGCGGAAGGAGCTCCAGAAGGAGCTTCAGGAGCAGATGTCCCGCGGTGATCCATTCAAGGATGTAAGCTGCTCTCTGAACCATTCATTCTTAATGTACATGTCTGTTTTGTACATGAATGCATACATGCCTGTGTGCCACACATGCTCAATTTGCCTGATGCCTGAGGGTTTGTCCCCCTTGGAACTGGAGTTACAGGTCCTGAAAGAGCAGCCAGTGCTTCTACTTGCTGAGCCATCCATCCTGCTTTTGTAAAGCCATCTTTTTTTTTTTTTTTTTAAGATTTATTTATTATTTATATAGCATTCTGCCTGCATGTGTACCTACGCACCAGAAGAGGGCACCAGCTCTCACTATAGATGGTTGTGAGCTACCATGTGGTTGCTGGGAATTGAACTCAGGGCCTTTGGAAGAGCAGCCAGTGTTCTTAACCTCTGAGCCATCTCTCCAGCCCCCTAAAGCCATCTTTTTAAGCCTAGATTTTTACATGGACATGTTTGTTTGTTTATTTGATTGGTTTTGGATTTTGTTTGGTTTTTTTGTTTGTTTGTTTTTTGGTTTTGTTTTGTTTTTGGTTTTTTTGTTGTTGTTGTTTGTTTTTGTTTGGTTTGATTTTTGAGACAAGTTTCTCTGTGTAGCCTTAGCTGTCCTGGAACTCACCTTGTAGACCAGGCTGGCCTTGAATTCATAGAAATCCACATGTTTTAATCCCACATGCGGGAATTAAAGGCATGCACCACCACGGCCCAACTTTTATGGACATTTTTGTACATTCAGGAGTCTCCAGTATTTCCCCAGAGTAAGCCTGGATTAATAATTACAGATTTGGACTTCATTTAGCCTTTCATATGCTTATCTTAAGTTTTACTGATGCCCAGATAAAATAACTTTGAAGATTTTATAATGTATAGGCAGGGGCCAGACAGTTTTCATTTGGAGCCAATTTATTTTTGTCATTGCTGAGTGGTTTTACATTTATTTAGGTGTGGGTGTGTATACACCATCTGTCTGGGGAATCAGTCTTGGGTTGTCAGGCTCTTTTATGTTCTTGCTGAGCCATCTCACTTGCCAGAGCTAGTTTGTGTATAAAATAGGTTGAATTTCAAGGTTCTGTCCTGTGGCAGAGACATTCTGTTTTGTTGTGTTTTATTAATTACACTTTATTCACTTTGTATCCCCCCTGTACCTCCCTCCCTCCTACCCTCCCATTCCCACCCTCCCTCTTCCCCACCCATGTCCCTGTCCCAGTCCACTGAAAAGGGACGTCCTCCTCCCCTTCCCTCTGATCCTAGTCTGTCAGGTCTCATCAGGAGTGGCTACATTGGGCATTCTGTTTTTATGTGGTACAGGTGAAATTTGTCAGTAGGGAAAGGCTTTGTTTTCTTGCTTATTTCAGACATGGACTCAGCATGCAGCTGTGGCTGGCCTGGAACTTTGTGGATCAGGTTGGCCTCTAGCCCAGATCCACCTGCCTCTGTCTCAGGAATGCTGGGGTTAATTAAAGCCATGAGTCTACCACGCCTAGCTGGAAAGGCAATTTGTAAAAGATCTAAATTTGATGTATTTATGTATTAACAGTAGCTTCTGTTACTGTGGACTGCTTTACAGATAATCTTATATGTCAAGGAAGAAATGAAGAAGAACAACATCCCAGAACCAGTCGTCATTGGGATAGTCTGGTCCAGTGTGATGAGCACCGTGGAGTGGAACAAAAAGGAGGAGCTGGTAGCAGAGCAAGCCATCAAGCACTTGAAGGTACTGGGGTTGCTCCTCAATAAAGCAGGCTGGCATAGTACAGATGGGGTGTGCCCTGTTGGTGGGGATTTGTCTAAGGCAGCAGTTCTCAACTTGTGGGTTGTGACTCCTTTGGGAGTTGAAGGACTCTTGCACAGAAGTTGCCTAAAACCATCAAAAAATAGAGACATTTATATTACCATTCACAACAATAGCAAAATTATAAAGTTATGAAGTAGCTGTGAAAAAAATTTTATGGTTGGGGGTCATCACAGCATGAGGAATTGATATTACAGGTGGCAGCATTAGGAAGGTTAAGAACCACTGCCCAAGGATTTACCACATTTGTGCTGGGGATGGTCTGCTAGTAAATGTTTTTTAGTGTTGATAATACTTCTAAGGCTCCCGTGTCTTTATTTGGCTCCTACATTGAAAATAATAGCATGTCTAAAAGTAACTTAAGTCTGATTTGATACTGCTGAGGGAATGGTAGAAGTTTACTACTACCTGAAGTAGATCTTAGATTTTTCTGCTTTGCCATTTTTATTCCCAATTTCCCGTGAACTGATCATGGTGGTAAAGGTGTGTTGTGATCTGTATTGTGGCATTTTGTAATGGAATGGATGATCTTTATAATGAGTAAGTCATTCTTTCTTTTAAAAGCAATACAGCCCCCTACTTGCTGCCTTTACTACCCAAGGTCAGTCTGAGCTGACTCTGCTGCTGAAGATTCAGGAGTATTGCTATGACAACATTCATTTCATGAAAGCCTTCCAGAAAATAGTGGTGCTTTTTTATAAAGGTAAGTCAGTCTTCAGTTTTGTGAAAGTTGTATGAAAATCCCAAAATACTGGAAATAATGACCTTCTTTGTCTTTACAAAATGAAATCATCTGTGGTTAAATTGAGGGTGGTTGCACTGTTTGTTTTGTTTTTCTGTAGCCTTGACTGACTTGGAACTCCCTCTGTAGACCAGGCTGGCCTTGAGCTCACATCTACTTGTCTGCCTCCCTCAGGCTAGGATTAAAGGCCAACACCATCATTGCCAGCATATTGTTTATTTTTGAGTAAGGCCATCACTGTTGTGTTGACTGGCTTGGAACTTACAGACCAGGTTGATTTGCAGCTCAAAGATCCACCTGCCTCTGCTTTCCAAGTGCAGTGCTGGGGTCAAAAGTGTGTTCCCCCACACCCAGCAGAACTGGGTGTTTTTATTTGGTACATTGCTATTAGGTCTGTGAACCTTGTTCACAAGGTAAATATAAGTTAAATCCCTAAGTGAGACCCTACCTCCCAATCACCCTTACCTACAGGAAAAACAACCCAAGTAGGCATGTGTATTTTGTGTGGTTTAGTAGAAAGCTTATTGTGTTCAAGCGTCCTGATACAGTTGACTTGTTCTTAGCTGAGGTCCTGAGTGAAGAGCCCATTCTGAAGTGGTATAAGGATGCACATGTTGCAAAGGGGAAAAGTGTCTTCCTTGAGCAGATGAAGAAGTTTGTAGAATGGCTCAAAAATGCTGAAGAGGGTAAGTCTTCCTTTGTGTAGATGCTTGGAAATTGGGTGGTGGTATTTGGTTAGTGTTGAATGGCTTGCCTCCCAGGTGTTTAATCATCATTATAGTTTTTAAAGTTGTATTATATTTTTATTTAGTTATGTGTATGGGTTTGAGTACCATGGCACATGTGGAGAACAAGTCTTTTTAAACTTGGGTTGACTTGTCAGCAGGCAACTTACTGTTCTTGCTTGCCCCATTATTGTATCTTACACTAAACAGTAGGGAAATTGAAAATTTTGAGATACTTGAATATGTACTTGTTATCAGTTGATATTAGTCAAGTTCTTAAATTATAAAGTTTCAAATAATGGAAACTAGCTTCCTGAAACAAGATGCTTGACTGTTTTTCAAACTCTTTTTCTAGAATCTGAGTCTGAAGCTGAAGAAGGTGACTGAATTTTGAAACAACATCCTCAGTAAAGCAAACAGGAGTTGTAGATAAAATGTCATGTCTCATGTGTCCTGGTTCTTACATCTTCCTACCTCCCTATATCAAGCATGATATAAGGGCTTTCATGGCAATTTTTATTTTAACTGTTTTTATGGTTACTGGAAATGTTGGGTTTGGTTTCTGAAACCATGTGTAAGTAGCTGCAGGAGCTGTAGAATTGAATCTGATTGTTTCATTGGTTTTTCAGTTACCTTCTACCTCCTGTATTTTCTACTGTAATAATGTGATGTAAGGCCTTCCACAATGAGCAGTTCACTCTATTCCCTGGGTTTTCTATAGAAACAGTTTTCAAGATATGATTTGGTTAAAAATAATTTGTTACAAAAAGATTCTGTTTGCAAATTAAACTGTAAAAGTATCCAATGTCTCAAAAGACAATGATTTGTGTGATAATTTAGTATGTCCAGAACCTTGTTCATCAGTGAAAGTCCTGTAGACGATTGACTCCATAACATGAATCCTGAGTGTTTGGACCATTGGTTATATATGTAAGCATTTTCTTGTATTTTTAATCCCAGAATTTTTTTTTTTTTTTTCCCCTGGGTTTCATCTTTAGTTAAGCCATGGAGAGCAATATGGAGTTTTAGAACTCACATGTGGCAGAGGTAGGAAGAAGAAAGCTGAGCCTTTTTCCAGAAACTTCTGTGTTCATTTGTATCTTATCAGGTGGAACAAGTAGATACTCTTCATACAAACATTCTACTCAGGAGACAGCTGGACTGTTTAGGAAAGGGTTCCCAGAGGAGTATGAGTCAAGGTTAGTCTTGACACTGACCTATAGGCTTGTTGGGAACGTTGCAGGAGAGCGTGTTCTAACAAGATCTAAACACGTCTCCATTTCCTGTTGTGAAGGCAGTCAGCGGTCCGCCACTCAGTCATCAGGCCTGGCTTCATTCTGCTCTATTCAAGCACCTAGTAACACACCCTAGTTGCCATTTCATTGCCGTGGGCCAAATACTTCTTTTAAATGATTAATTCATTTATTTTAATGGATGCCTTCATTTCTTTTTGCTATCCATTTGTAGTTAGTTGATAGGGGGGAATGTAGCCACCTTTTTGGGAAAGGCTAAAGAAAAATGAACATTTTGAAAGTTTTTTTTAATTGATAAAAGAAAATAGTCAAAAATAATGCCACCAGAGACTGAGTGGAAATTGCCCATTTTGAAGGTGCCATTCTTAGAAGCCAAGAATTTGGTATTTAAAGTTTATCTTGAGAGGATAACATGTAATATAATTTGAAATAAAGGTATAGTAACCTTGAGAGCATTGTAGTGGAAACATTGATGAGGGGTGAATTTGTAAAATGAATGACTTTGATAAAGTTTTATGCACAGGCGAATGTATCCATTAGATTCTGTGTAGTGATCTGCTTTTCCTTTGTAATTTGTAGTCCTGAAAAGATTTTTTTTTTAAATAAAGTCCATCCTTACATTTAGGATTTATAGATCAGTCTTTTTATTCCCCCATAAATCCCTTTGCCCCCATGGTGTGCTGGTGTCCGCTATGTAAGCAGTTACAGTCCATCCTTCCACTCAGACTAAACACCTCGCAGACTCCAGTGCAGCTACAGCTACATTGCCATTTCTACAACCAGATTCTTGCATGTTGCCGCCGTTTGAAACGCACCGTTTATTATATACTGTGTATAGTGACAGTGTGGAGTCTTCCAGAATTACATTATGGTCTTTGATCATAGATCTTTCTCCCTTCGTACACAGTAGTGTTTACTTACAATAGTACACAGGTGAGGCACCTGTGAGTACAATGTAAAGAAAGGGAGTGACTTATGAAATTCCCATTTCGAATTTAAATGCCTACCTGTGGCCTCCAGTATGCACTTCCTAATAGAGATGTTACAGCTCTACTCTGAATCATGACTTGGCTAACTGTTGGTTGAATTCCTAACTTGGGGTCAGTTTCTAAGGCTTTTAGTCTTGGATACTATACTGTGTGTTTAGAACTGATAAGTGTCACCTTACTCTGGGATTATTATCCTAGAAATACTGTTTTTATAAAATCCCCAGACACCAAAATGCCACATATTTTATTTAACATAATGATGGTGATGAGGGAAAATGCATGTGACCAAGAGGTTAACTTATAACAGTGTTCACCATTACCCAAACTCCCCCAAAAACCTTTTCCCCTAATAGCACCCCAATAAATTTTAATATACACTATGTACTGTGTCTGTTTTTTATATATGAAACAAGGGTATTTTTTTTTATATCCCCTTAGAATGAACTTACCATTGGAAGATGTTTTAATATGACCTAAAAGTAGAGAGGTGTAATGATGTTTTAAAGTGTTTACTGTTATTCGTAGTATAAAAGTTTTTTCTATCGAGGTCACTGGAAAAGGCAACTTTCTCTGTCTCCTTGATACTGAGGCTTGAACTTTGTCTTGTAATGACAAAGTACCACTGAGCCATTCTGAGACGGTCTCATTAGGGTTCCCAGGGTAGCTTTGACCTTATCTGTCCCCCAAGCAGGCTGTAAACATTGAATCCTTCTGCCTTAGCTAGCTGTGTGGTTAGTTGGTCTAGGCCTGTAATGGGTAATTCATGGTCTGTGAGTCACCTTTCAGTTTGTACCTCAGACCCATAGGCACTGGGCAAGCCAGATGGTGGCTCGCATCTGTGATCCCAGCAATGGACAAAAAAGTCTGGCCTGGAACTCTGCCTCTTCCTCCCCAGGGCTGGGGTTAAATGTGCATTTGCCACACCCAGCATCAAACAGGTTCCTGATATGGTTGTAGATGTATATTTATCATTTGGGTTTCCTTTGTGTAAAGATCATTGGAAATCCTGTAGATAAATGGTCCATTTCAAAGTTGTGGACAAAGCACAACAAAAATGGTTTTGAAATTGTACCAGTTGTCTTTTTTTTAATTTTATCATTGCCATAACAAAATTCCATGAAGGCAATTTACAAAAGCATTTAATTTGGGGCCTCACAGTCATAGAAGGCTAGAGTCCATGACTGTTAGGGCTAGAGCATGGCACTGGAGCAGTAGCTGAGACCCTGGATATTGAGACAACCACCACGAGGCAGATGCAATGAAAACGGCATGGGAAAGCCACCCACAGATGCACAGCCTCTAATCCTGTAAACAGTCCCACCAACTAGGGTCTTATTGACCCTGTGAGGGTCATCCTTACCCAGACACACTTGTCAACATCTGCACTCAAGGGAGTCAGCTTTCAGAACCCAGTGCCTTGGTGGATGGGAATGGAACAAGCCAAAGTTTGGGTGTACGTTACTGAGCTATTTGTAAAAATTTCTTTCTTGGGTATTATGTAAAATAAGCAAATATGGAAAGTCTTAAATTGCTTTGTTAGGATTTGTGTGTGTGTTCCATATTAGTCTTTATCAGTCCAAAATATTTTTAAACCAGTGTACTGAGGCCTTAATGTTTAAAATGGTGACACTTGCTTTTAATCCAGCACTCAGTAGAAACTCGCAGTGGATCTGAATTTGGCCAGCCAGGGTTTGGGTGGGGGAAATACAAGGTTTTCAGTTGGCTTGGTTAAAACTATCTGTGAAGATCTGTCAAGTGCTTTTGATTAGAAACAGTTTAGAATTGGCTTTTTCTTGAGAAAAAAAGTGAATTGTAGTGGATTAATAACTTGGATATCAGCCAGGTGCAGTGGCCAAGGCAGGCAGAACTCTTCAGTTTATGGTCAGTTTGGTCTACAAAGTGAATCCAGTACAGCCAAGGCTACACAGAGAAACCCTTTCTTGAAAAACCAAAATAAATAAAAGCATGTTGGGTGTAATTTGGGGCCATAGCTCAGCAGGGAGCCTTGTCAGGTGTGAAGCCTTCAGTGTAATTCCTATTGCCAAAAGGCTACCGACTCCCCTGTCCTTCCACTAGATCTGCAAGCAAGGGTACTTTACAGATGTGCAGGATCACCATCAATTGAGCGAGCCCTACTTGTGACAGCTGTTGGGCATGTAATCCTAGCTCCCAGTTGCTGAGGCATTCTGGGCCAGTGCTATTGTGTAGAGGATACTCCACCTTGGTGAAGGCTTGAGACCCTCTTGAAATTTGAATGCTTACGATTGTGGAGTGGATTTGAGTTGTTACCATTAGCAAGTATTAATGAGCTATCTTCAGAAAATTCCAAGTCGGGACCCACTTAAAATTGTTGGCCGCAGAGCAATGGTCTAGCACACCCACGCTAGTTAGACATACAGGGGTTTCCCACAGTTCTGTGCACTCAGTTATAGGAAAGATTCTAACAGCACACCCTTAGTTACCATAAAATCCAGATCTAAGGACGCCTCGGAGTCCTCCCCACTTGATGGCAATTCCAAAGCTAGGTTTCTGGCTGTTTTTACATTGTGCATGTTATGTGCCCACACTGATGTACACACTTGTGGGCCTCATCAGTGTACATGTAAAGGTCAGAAAACAACTTGTAAAAGTTCTCTTCAATCATGTTGGTCCTAGGGATTAAACTCAAGCCATTAGGCTTGCTGAAGTTTTTTGTTTTATTGGGGTTTTTTTTTTGGTTTTCGAGACAGGGTCTCACAATTCAGCCCTTGCTGGCCTGCAACTTCCTATGTAGACCAGATCTTGATCATAAGAGATCCACATGACCTTGCCTCACAAGTGCTAGAATGAAAGGTGTGCAACATACCTGACCTCAATGTAATTTTTTTATATTTATTATGTGTATGCATGTACACTCGCATGCCAGCAGGGGGCACCAGATCTCATAGATGGTTGTGAGCCACCATGTGGTTGCTGGGAATTGAACTCAGGACCTCTGGAGGAACAGCCAGTGCTCTCAACCTCCGAGCCATCTCTCCAGCCCTACCTTTTTTTTTTAATGGTTGAGCCTTCATGTGTTCTGCAAACCAACCCTGTCCTCTGAGGAGCAGCCAGCCTCTTTTTAATTACACTTTATTCACTTTGTATCCCCCCCCACCCCCCGTGGCCTCCTCCCTCCCCCTTGAGCCAGCCTCTTAAAAACACTAGGAAGTCATTATTTGGACACCCTTTCCCATGTAGACTGTAACTTTTTCATATATAGAAACAACACATACATTTTATTGCTATAAGCCACAGAAATGTTACAAATATGCCTAGGAAACTCAGGCTATTTTTGGTGTTGTGTAGTTTATATGCATGCACACTGCATTACACAAAGGTCAAAGCAACATATAGGGAGTCTTGCTCTATAGGGCTCTTAGTGCCTTGAGGCAGGTTCTTGAGTTGGCAATTTCTCCACCCAAGTAGTGCACAGGTGCTGAGCACTTGAAATGTGGTCCTTGCTCACTTGTGCACAAGTTCTTGCCCTGAGCCACTTCCCCAGCCCCAAGGTAGGCTTAAGAGTGTATTACTCAAGGAGTACCCACCTTTACCATTAGGGGTTTAACCTCAGAAGGGTTGGAATCAAGAGCTCACATCTTTATATGCACTGAGCCTGCCCAACCTTTTTTTTTTTTTTTTTTTTTTTTTTTAACTATTTTTTATGTGCACTGGCATTTCTGCCTCCATGTATGTCTGTGTGAGGCTGTCAGGTACACTGGAACTGGAGTTGCAGATAGGTGTGAACTGCCATGTGGTTGCTGGGAAACAAACTCAGGTCCTCTGGAAGAGCAGTCTGTGCTCCTAACTGCTGAGCAGTCTCTCTAGCCCCTAACCTGCTCAATTTTTAAGTTTTAAAACACATATACCCCAAAAAAGAATCTTAGAAAACTGTGGCTCGGTGTCCTATATGCATGACCATTGAGGCACATACCTGGTATCACCCTCCAGCCTCCACGTGGATATGTGAACAAGAATAAACACACATTCATAAAGACAAAAAACCTGCCTCAATACAGGAATCTTGATTCAGAAGTGTGTTTAACAAAGACTTAGAGTTCATGTCTTAGCCTGAAGGAACACAAGATAGTAACAAGCAGAATGTAACACCATACAAATTGGACGGCCCAATATACAGTTTTTAATCTAATAAAAATGTGAATAAAGTTGGGGCTGGAGTGAAGGTTCAACGATAAGAGAACTGATCCAAGTTTGATCCAGCACCCACAAAGCAGCTAATCCACACCACCAGCTGAGGGGACCCAACACCCTTTTCTGGCCTGTACTCATGAGGGGTGGTCAATACATGTAGGTGAAAACACCATTCCACATAAAATAAAAAAAGCAAACTTATCTGCAGAGAGACAGCACACCAAACTGCAGAGACATATATATTCATAAGCAGTTTATTCCAAGTATGTCATTCTGTAATCACTGAAAGATGCTTGTTATTTGGCTTGGCTATGTATTTAATAAATCATCTACACAAACAATACAAAACATAAGAAATGTACAAAGCTATACAAAATAACTTAATACTTAAAAACTAGACTGATACAGTCCAAGATCTCTTTCAGAGCACTATGTATTTATAAATCATGTATGTTTAAGTGGGTGAAAGAAAGGATGCTTTAAAGCTTCCCTGAGAGTGATTCTTTTGGCTGGATCATACTCCAACATCTTCCCAATGAGGTCAAAGAGAAGCTCATGTTCGGCATCCTGAGAAAGCATGAACTCCTGAAACAGAAAAACATTCTTACCACCTGCTGTACTTCCTCCACCATAAAAACAGAAGGAACCTCTTCACAATCATGGGATGCCAGGTCAGGCCTGCTTTTTAAATCATTATTAAAATGTTTCTAGGAAGAGGAAGGGTAATGGCCAGTTACAATGGTGTACACCTGTAATCCCAGCACTGGGAAGCTGATGGAAATTTCTGAAGCCACCCCAGACTAGACATTAATATGTACCTGTATATATTAGATGTACCCTGTCTCAATAAAGCAACACTCAAAACCAGAGAGACATTAGAGGGTACAGGTTAGCAGTAGACTGTAACAGCCAGATTGCATTACACCCTGAAGAAGAAGAAGATGAAAAAGTGGGAGTGCAAGTCCTGGTTAGGTAAAGACCACCTCGGCTTACCTTCAGAGGCTTACAGCGCCGCTTAACGTATCTGCCAGCAGAGCTGTGTTCATCCCAATCCACTCGATCATGATGGAAATATTTACGCTTCCTAAAACAGTTAAATGTTCACATTTACCAGGCTGACCTCTCCAAACTTAATATTGGGCAAAGATGATCAATTACTGTATTTTTTCCAAATTTAATCTTTTTTTCTAGAGATTTAAGATATGTTCAAGGATTAGAAATACTGTTATTCACCATCAACAATGCAATATGCTATTTAACTGAAAAAGAATTTTTAAGTTTCAGTCAGAATCCAGTGGTACTGAATATGACAGGCCTCAAGTAAAACCTACCTGGTTTTCTGTACCATGTGCTTTGGCAGTGGTCCAAGAATCCTTTCCATCATTGCTAAATGTTCCCTGCTATCATGAGTCTGAAATAAAAACATTTGTTAGCCAGTAACACACATCCCATCATGACAATCTGACAACCCAATGCTAGTTCTCTGGTCCCAGCTTTTCAGAAGTCAAAAGAAGATTAAAAAAATGGCATACAGCAAGTTGCAGGAGAGCAAAATATTGTTAAGCCTGAAGCTTGCCAGTGATCATCCCTAAATGGCTGAAGACAACTGCTTACAATATTTCTAAAACTTCCTAAGACAGATCACACAATTTTAATTTCTTGTGTTTTATTATAAGACAAAAAAATCTGTTATGTAAATGTGTTCTTTGAATTAAAGTAGTTTTTTACACAAATGAGCACTTTTTAATGCATAGCCACTAAAACACACCATTCATTGTCACTTACCGGAAAAACTGTAAATCCAAGGTAATACTCAATAAGAATACAACCTATACTCCAGACATCACATGGTTGTGACCACCCTAGGGCTGCAAAGAAAAGCACAATGTCAGGGAGATAGCCTCACTATTTTTGAAAGACATTTTATCATTGAATTCCAAATTTCCGGCCCTGGAAGTATACACAAAGTAAGTTAGGTTAGCAAAACCTGTCAAGAGCTGAATTTATTTCAGGCACTCTGCCCACAAAGGATAAGTTGTTTGATCTAATCTTGCATTTTTATTTTTGTTCAGCACACTCCAGAAGCATTAGACTGCACCATACCGTCTCCCTGACACAATTAGGTGCATGGCAGACATCCAATTTGTTCTTTAAAACACTCTTTTCAGTAAGACTGTAACTCAGGTTAATCTTGAGCAGGAGGATCTTCCTGACTCAGCCTTTGGGTGACTAAGTGACAGCCTCTGGGCTAACTGACACATGCCCCCACACCTGGCATTTCCTATTTTTGAAATAGGATTGATCTTACCATGTGACTCAGACTGCCTTCTAACTCAAGAGATCCTCTGATTAAAGGCATATGCCACCATGCCCAGCAATTTCAGGATTCCTTAGCACAATTTCTAATACTGTTTTTAAAATGCATTATTATTATAATCCTGGGTATTTCTCCACAAGCCTTGGCAGGTTAGGTAAGCACAGTACCACTGAGCTACATTCTGCAGTGTAGAGAATTACTTGATCAACAAAACAGTCATACAAATAATACCCCAAACTACAAATTTTATGTTGGATTCAATAAAGCAGTATAAATTATTTATGCAAACAAGTACTAACCTAAAATAACTTCAGGTGCTCTATAATGTCTTGTAGATACCAATGTACTATGATGTTCATCATCGTATGTTGCACTTCCAAAGTCTACAACCTTAATATCTGGATTCATTAAGGTACGTTCATCACGTTTCTGAAATCAAAAGTGGCAAGTTATGAAGGCAAACTACTGAAACAAAGCAATCATTAAGCACCATGATTATCCTGTTTTAAGGGGCTTACCATTTTGGGATTATAAGCCTCTGTGTAGTCAGACTTCACAAATAAGATGTTTTCAGGCTTTAAGTCTGTATGAGTCAATTTATTACTGTGCAAAACTAGAAAAAAGAGTTACTTTAACTGTAGTCTCAAAATCAAAACAAAATCACAAGCCCAACATTGTAACACATGCCTATAATCATAGCACTCAAAGCACTCAAGCTGAAGCATGGAAATCTAAGTCTAAGACTTAATATTTAATGAGACTGTGTCTTTTTTTTTGGTGACAGGGTCCCTCTATGGCCCTGGCTTTCCCAAAACTCACTATTTAGACCAATCTGGGCTTGACCTCGAGAGACTGCCCTGCCGCTGCTACTTGAGTGCTGTGATTAAAGATATATACCACCCCACCTGGCTGAGATGTTGTAAAACAAGAAGAGAGTCTGGTGAGATCGCTCAGTGCTGAAGAGCATATACTTGTATTGTTCTTTTGACCTGGGTTCAATCCCAGCACCCATAAGTGGCTTACAACCACCTGAAACCTCAACTCCAGGGGGATTTGACACCCTACAATCATGTTTGTGCTGTGCACACACAAAAATTAAAATAACAAACAAAAAAACAACAAACAAAACCCCAAACCTCTAGTGCCTTCCTACATACTTTAAAAAAGTAATCAATATAAACTTAGTCTAGAAGAAAAAACCCCAGAGAGGGTGTGGGGATACATGCCTGATAAGATCCATCCATACAATGTTTTATCTATCCATCCACAGCTCTCATGTGGTTTGTACTTGGGTAAGACACTGAGAACTGAGGCCAGCTCAAGGTTATACAACGAGAGCACAAGGCTAGCCGGGACTCTACGGTGAGACTATGCCTCTCAGTAGTAAAGTTAGCTGAGAATATGACTCCCATCTGTAATCCCAGCAGTTAGCAGAAAAAGGTCACTCAGGGGGTTGCCAGAAAGGACAATGGCAACAGGTTGTTCAAAACCATGCTTTTGGTTTATATATCTCATGTCAGGACAGTTAGGGCTACATTTTGAGAAACCCGGTCTCAAAACAGGAAGGCAAGCAGGCGGGCGGACATCTTATGAAGCTGAGATTTGTTATTTTCTAGGACTCCAGGGTAAATCAGTTTTATGGAGATATATATATATATATATATATATATATATATTTTTTTTTTTTTTTTTTTTTTTTTTGAGAAAAGGTCTTATTCAAACATAGATAAAAAGTCACTTTAAAATTCTGATCTTGGGCTGGAGATGGCTCAATGGTTAAGAGCACTGGCTGCTCTTCCAGAGGACCTGAGTTCAATTCCCAGCAACCACATGGTAGCTCACAACCAGATATAACAAGATCTGATGCCCTCTTCTGGCATACAAGTGCACATGCAAATAGTGCACTCATATAGATAAATTACATACTTTTTAAGGTTTATTATTTATACAGTATTATGCTGCATGTGTGCCAGCAGGCATACATGTGCTCTTAACCGGAGTCATCTCTCCAGCCCTCAAGCACCAACTTAATCACATTCCTAGCTTTCTATGTTAACTAATACACTATTCACCAAATTAAACACTACAGACTAACAACTTATAATCAACTAAATCTTATTTCACACTAAATCACTTCTTTCCTCTGGAGACTTAATCCAAGGATATGTGCTTAAGTCACTCCTCCCACTCCAGCTGTGCAATATTATTGTCAATTACAGTTACAGACACGGTTTCTCTGTGTAATCTTGGCTGTTCTGACCAGGTCGGCCTCCCCCACTGTGGCCATCACGCCCAGCTTTTAAACCATTCTTAACAAGCTTTCTCTATTTAAATCAGTATCACCCCATTCCCCAACCCATATTTACTCTCATGCCAGGCTTTTAAACCTCACATTTAATCTCATCTTTTAGTCTTCTGAGGTGACATGGACAGAATAAAAAGGCCTCATTTTTGTCACTGTACTAAAGCCCCAGGCTCCACCAGGCTCTCTCTTTTGAATATCAAATTAGTCTGAAATTAGCCTCAAACTCAAATTTTTGGAAGACATGTCCAGAACTTACAATTTACAGATTTGCATATTTGATATGCCATCTTCCTGATATGATCCATTCGAAATGGCAGAAAACCATTTTCCTTAATGAAGTCATAAGTACTAAGTCCCAGAAGCTCAAACACAATGCAGATGTGACCACGATGCTCAAACCACTCCAACATCTGGACACAGCGGCTACAAACACATGAGAAATAACTTAATAGAGCTTACAATTCAAATCTATCTGAAACTTTTCCCCAAGTTTTAATTTGATACTTACAAAGTACTGTGGGGATCTGTGGTATTTAAGTGTTCCAAAACTTGTATTTCTGATCGAGCAGCTTCACAATATCTATCCACATTTTTAACTATTTTTACTGCTACACGTTTACCTCCCCTGTTAAATAGAATAAATCTAGGTTAAAAAAGATGAAAATCTGGCAGCTCACAACTGTCTGAAGGCTTCCATCCCAGAGGATCTGATGTCCTCCACAGACAGACATATGCAGACAAAACACCAATGATTAAAAAAAAAAAAAAAAGATATTCCCAAGCACCCTGGAAGCAGAGGCAGGAGGATCTCTGAGTTCAAGGCCTACATAAGTAAGTTCCACGACAGCCAGGGCTACATAGATGCCCCATCTCAAAAAAAGATACTGCAATTCATTGTTAAGTAAATTGTCATCTTTAATCATATCACTACTTGTGAGTTATCCTTGGTTCCTTCAACTTAAGAAGATATAGGTGAGTAATTTAAGTTAATACTATGTTGGGTTAAATAACACTACCTCAATATGCCCTAAGACAAATGCAGTCTGTTTCTTATACTGGCCACCATTGTCAAATACTATCTCAAATTATCCTCTGATCTATGTTATCAGAAAAGCTGGTGCTGGGTCAGAGAACTGTACAGTCTCTTCTGAACCAACTCATTTACAAAGTGTATGCTATTCTTGAGGCAGGAAATGTACAGGTAACTGGTAAAAGTGGCTGCTTTGCATGAACAGAGCACCATGTCTTATCCCCAGCACCAAACACATACATGTTTCATTGATTCAGAAGAAAAAAAAAGATAAAGGTGTAAGAAAAAAAAAATGTCTAACAGTCATGTACAGCTCTTACTCCAGAATTCAATTCCCAGTACCTACAGTGGGTAGGGGTAGCTCATAACCACCTCTACTGATACCCTCTCTTTTGGCCTCATGCACACACAAAAATAAAAATCAAAACATTATTAGTATTTTGAATCCCTAGGTCCGATTACCAACATGGGTTGAGGGGTGTGAAAAGCACTAATCAAGCTTGACGGAAACAATTACACCTTTAACACCTGCTTAGAATAAAGTAACATCAGCCTAATTCATCTAAAGAAAAAAAGCCCCGTCTCCTTATATCCTTTGGTGCAAGGGGTTAAACCCAAGAGCTTTCTGTCCCTCCCCATCAGAAAGCTGCACACACTGGCATATGTGGTGTGCATAGTCGAGACCCTGTCTCAAAATCAGAGACTCACCAAACAAGCCAAGGCAAAGTACCTCTACCTATGACCTTCTCAGACTCCAAGGCAAAAGACCCAAGTCAAAGGTTATATGGACATAAGCTAAATTAATTTTCTCTACTGAAGAACTTCACTTAAGAACACTTTAGCCAGGCAGGCATGGTAGCTCACACCTTCAATCCTTGCATTCAGGGAAGCAGAGGCCGGTGGAATTCGAGTTCAAAGCCAGCCCGGTCTATAAAGAGTCCAGGACAAACAAAAAGAAACCTACATTTTATAGCCAGATGGTGGTGGCACATGCTTTTAAATCCAACACTGAGTCTACAAAGAGTTCCAGGACAGCCAGGACAACACAGAGAAATCCTGTCTTAGAGAGAAACTTAGTTGTGGGGAGGAAGACTTACAATTTATGATCGATGCACTCCACTACTTTCCCAAAAGCACCTTCACCTAAAGTATCAACAATTTCATCTAAAAAAGAGAAATAAATTTCATTCATAACAGGAAGTGAGAACAATATATTTATAAGTGCTATAATTGCAGATTATTCTAGGTGATGCTGCAAATTTCCTTATCACTAATTACATTACTTATCAGCCAACATCATCCAAAAGCATACAACTATTCTTAGATCTATTTTCATTCTCAGGCTAATTTCATTAACTTGATTTACTGTTCTGGAATTTCTGTTTAACATTAAAAACAAAGAAAGCAAAGACACAATCCCCTCCCACCAAAAAAAAATGAAAGCAAACAAAAACAACAACAACAAAAAAAAAAAAAAACAGAAAGAAAAAAAGATTTCCAAATCCCTAAAATCTTAATCTATATATACATATAGATTATGTTATCTGAAAAGTTAATAAGTGTTGAAAAATATTCTATACATCTTGCACTTAGTACGTCTCCACTCTGACAGATCAGGTGACCCTCCTCATCATCCTCTACACTCCTGGTTCTTTTCCTTCGGTGACTCTTCTGGAAACGTCAAGTGGGCGGCACCAAGATCATCCAGCCAATCAATATACCCGAGTGAATTCAGGGCAGAATACGAAATTCATTCAGCGGGGAGATATTCAGGCATTCAGATACGCGCCAGGCCACAAACGGTTGGCAGGAGCAATTTCAAATTCAGTCCCCAGAAATTCACAGGGCACATAGTTTATGTTAACAGGAGAAAAACATGGCAAGGAACAGATTTTCAGATAAGACACTCAAAGTGGTAAGGCAACAAAACATAAACACAATTGTTTTTCTTTTTTAAAAAATGCTTATCTGTAGCATTCACTGAAACATAGTGTCCTAATTTAATGCTACAAAACTGTAGGCTGTAGGATTTACTTTAGTACACTGTGGCCAAATTTAAATTTGGCCTAACTAAGAAATACTGAAACAGTAACTAAAACCACAGCCCTAATTTGGGGAGAAAAAAAGTGATTTGGTATAACATTATAGCATTGATTTCCAAATACATGAAACCATTAAGTTCAAATCTGTACTTTGCTTAATGAGAAAGATTATAGAACACGTTAATAAGTCATAACCCTCTCACAAAAAAAAAACATCTAATTCTTTGGAATAAACTGAACTTATCAAAATAAGAGTTCTTAAAAATAGCACCAAGAAAAATCTATCCAAATATATATATATATATTTTGCCAAATATATTACTTTTTAAGTTACCCCCTCCACTAATATACTGGAATGGCAATCAATTGCTAATTAGTGACTAACCTATTATTACAGAAATACGTATTTGTTTTCATGAATTTCTTATGTAAAACACAAATACTGAAAACAGTACTCCTGAAAGGTAGAGTTGTGATGACTTTCACAAATTTTTCTCAAACACAAATCTGCTTCCTGTTCTCCATGGAAAATAACTTTTAAAATGTTTAAAAAGTGCTCATACCCCATGTGAGCGAAGACGTGAAGTGCCACTGTCATGGCGACTCCTGTGTTTACTTTTGTAACTGCTTCTTCCACTTCTACCAGAGGACTTGCTACTGTGATTTTGATATCTGCCATCATGGCCTCCATAGTGATATCCTGGCTCACATCCCATGTAGTCATTCCTATATTCATCAACATAGCGTCGACTATGATAACCTTTCTCATTTATGGGTCTGCTTTCCAGATAATAGCTGGAGGAGAAAAAAGGTTGTTTTATGGCAACTCCAGAACACACACACACACACACGAAACACCCAACACCAAATCTCAAGTTCTCTTTGCAGTGTAGAAGACTGAACTCAATGCCTTTGTCCAAGTCAGGTTTTCTACCACTTAACTATAGCTCTTCATTAATCCCTTGATTATGCAGTTAATAACACCACTTTTATCATCCCATAAAGCTCCAGGGCTTCATTCATGGTAGGCAAACATTCTATATCTGAGCTACATCCCCAGGCCAAAAATCTATTTTTATTTTGCAACACTTTATGTGCTTGGTTATGTGTACTTGTCTGTGTAGTACTAAGGAGTGCCAGCAGAGGGCATGAGGTCCCTGGAGCTGGACTTACAGGTTATAGTGGCAGTGTGCTCGGAGAGCTACAAGAACAGGCTGAGACATCTTCCCAGTCCATAACTGCCATTCTTACCTATCCGTTGTTTTGGAGTGATTATATTTGCAGCGCTTATGCTCCCAGGCACTGCTATTCGATCTCCTCTTTCTTTTATGACCACTGCTGCATCTCCATGTTCCATAATCCCAATCTCTTTCATCCCAGTCGTGATAGTAAGTTCTCTGTGAATGTCTCATCTACACAAAAGACAAATTTTCCCAGTTAAATTGTATTCTGTGTTGATACTTTCTTTGCAAATTCCCACTCGTTTTGATCTTTTCTTCCCAGCATGGTCTCACTATGTAGTTGTAGTTGTGTAGCCTAGGCTGCCTCTTGCCTTTGGAACACTATGATTAAAGGCATCTCCACCCAGTTTTGACCTTTCGTTTTAAATCAAAGTTCTGAAACTGTTGTAAACTGAAACCGTCTCAGAGTCTGGAATCTAAATTTTACTTACAGATTTTTCTACCTTGTTCTTACCATATCCAAATTTATAAGCGGCTGGCCTCCCTTTTATGCTGAGTCAGCAAACTCTGGCCATCACGGATGAAGGCACTTAAACTGTTTTCGAAGCGCGGAAGCGCTAGGCTGAGTAATTAGCGATGTGTAATCGCTGGGTTCTCCTCCCCGTCACTAAAGGTAAAGGGTATCCCTGAGGAGTACATTTTACAACTTTGTTTACAAAGGAAAATTTAACTTTCCTGTTACAAAGTACTCCGTTAGAGCCTAGTTTTAACACAAAGAGGATTTCACGGCCTCTAGAGATAACTAGAGCTGCCTAAGTCTTCAACCCCTCTGCAAAGCACTTTGATTTTCTCTGACGAGCCCTGTCCGTGTGCCTTCTGATCGTTAAAGAGCCCAACCCTGCTGCATACTGGCTGCCTCCGAAATTCTTTTCCTCCGTGCAAGCCAGGGTCCGCCCTGGCCAAGGTTTCTGAGAACCGGGGTGACCCACAGCGCCCCACCCTGACAAGATCACGCCAGCCGTGGGTCCGGCCCGACTAACAAGTCACTGGAAAGAAGCTCGGAACCCCCAACCGCGTCCCGCCGCCTCTTTCCTCGGGCGCCCAGGTCGGGCCCTGGGCACCCCGGGAGGCGGCGGGCGGAGGCCGCGCCGGCGGCGCCACCCCCACCCCACCCCGCCGCCATCTTAGGCCGGCCGCGACGGCCGTCGCTCGGGGCGCCCGGCGGCCAGCGCCGTCCCCACCCGTCCCGAGGCCGGCGGCCGCGAGTCCGCAGCGCCGGGCAGGGCGCCGCTCCGGGGGCTCCGCCGTGGGGAAGGGGGGGGCGCAGCGGGGTCGCCGAGAGGCGCCCAGGAAGAGCAGACGGTGGGGCAGCGCCCGGACACGACCAGAGGCCCCGACGGACACCGCGCGCGCCTCACCGTTCCGCAGAGACGCCAACGCCGGGGACAAGGCTCGCAGGGCGACGGCGGGAAGCGCGCAGCCGACGGCGACCAACTCCCAGCACAAAATGGAGCTGACAGCCGCGCCGCGAGAGTCTTGTCGAAAACACCGATGACGCGCGGGGCGGGGCCTACGCCGGTCCCGAGTGCGCAGGCGCAGCTCTGCTTCCCTGCGTGCGCGGAAGACAGGGTGTGGGCCGGGGCCATATTGGTGCGGCTTCCAGAGGGTTCCATGAAGCTGCAGCTTACGGTGGTAGTCTCCTCCACGCTCACAAAAATCCTCAATGTGACCCTGCGAACGAGGAGGGCGGGGGAAGCAAGGTGATAGGTAGTACGTGCCCTGCTTGCAAACGTTTAAACGTTTTACACAGCGCCAACAAGGTAGCTCTGCTTACTAATTTGCTCTGACGAAGGTTGTGTGACCTATTTTAAACTAGTTTTTAGTGGTTGGGTATGACAGAAAACCGAAATTACCGGCAAGCATTTAGAAGTGGAAGAAATGGGTGAACAGGACCCTGATAGTGTAAGATTAGTAAATGGTCTTGTAAACCCATCATCCCATCTATTTCCCTGGTAACACTAAAAAAGGTAAACATCAGCTTTGCAACTCCTTTTGCCTTTGCAGTTAAAAAAAAAAAAAAAAAGGAATACCACTGGTCCTAGGCAGAGGCCAGACAATGTGATACGATTGAAAGATTTGAACATTAAATATCATACCTACTCCTTTAAGAGTTCATCAAGCCCTGGTCGTGGTG